GAGGAAGGGAGGAAGGGAGGAAGGGAGGAAGGACAGACATGGTTTTCAGTGTGTGGTTCTGTGTCAGAGCACTTGTTTAGCAAGTGTGGGAGGCCCTAGATTAAGTTCTTAGCACTAGGGGGAAAAGAACTGTGAGGAGAAAATCCTTACTTTCATAGATCTGTGAGGAGCCACTATTAGTCAATATTTTGCTGAATCTCTCGATGTTCTTGGAACCGACAACACGTACCTGTCAGAATTAGAACCACACAATACTATTTTGTGATGGGCTTTATAGTTTATCAGTGCCTTGTGACTAATGTGGTGACATGAGTTATTATGTCATAGGATATTGTATAATGCCACTGAAACATCAATGTCATCTTTCCTTACCTCACTTTAACCAACCTTGTCATCATAAAGTCCTTCCATCCCTGGAATAGGAGGTCAATGGAAGTGTTCAATGGAATTATTTGATTTTTTCTTTTTAATTTCCCCCCTCCTTTATGGCATTAGTTGTGTCCTGAAAGGCTAGGGTAAAATGAGTCAGGGAAAGATGCTGATAAGTTGGCGTGTATGTCAGGTGTAAGCTGTAATAGGGTTTGTTTGGTGCTGTTTTCTATATACATATTTGGCCATAACTAGAAGTGTCTCTAACTTTGTGTCATGTGACAGAGCAATGGTTATCACAAGATGAATCAGGAAGTGAGTTCTAATTCTAGTGATCTGCATTAAATAGTAAATTACTGGGTCAATGGCTTATTACTCTTTTGTCTCTAACCAGAGACCTATACATGCATTTTTTAGTTTTCTCAGATATAGGCAATTAAAAGTGAACTTGTGTTGACTTTGATGAGATACAGCCATTCACAATGAAGTTACCTTGACCAAAGTCGTGGTTTATCTACAGCAAGAATCAGACTCAATATGGCACCAAGGTATTCATCTGTCCATGGTCTCAGCAGCTAGGAAGATAGCTGTAATCCCTAATCACTGCATACAATATAAATAAACATGGAGATAGCACCATGCCCCATGAGACATGTATTCATTACCTTACTGATGTAACTGTAACTTCTCTGTACAGCATCTTTACCAGAAAATAAAATTAAAAAAATAAATACTACTGATTCATTTTAAAAAAAAACAACCTTTAATAACAGAGTATAAAGGGAATTCACTGAAGGCAGCTTCAGGAGACAAGGTGAAGGTCCACATATTTTTCTTGATCACCCATCCATGAAGCAAATTCAAAAGTAACAGGAAGTGGGGGGGGAAGGGGAGTACAGCCGGAAAAGGACAGGAGCTCTTCATTACAGCCTGCAGCTCCTGTTCTGACTTTTGTTTGGAAAGCATGTGTTTCTTGGTTTGGCCGGGCTCAAGAACCCCTGTCATGTTACACAGGAGCCACGGTTGTTGAGATGGATACATGAGAAAATGGCTTGTGAGCATCAAATGAGTTTTGTTTCTTTATACTAAGAAGGCTTTACATGAATCTCAAATAGTTTCAGTTCTGTCCTTAGGATCTCTTTAAAGTGCCAAAGTCCACAAGAGACTCTACAGACTCCAAATAAATGCCTATTGTCCAGTTGACCCGATGGTACTATTTGCTCTTACACTAAGTGTTGTAGGCAATTAATAATGTTGAATCCTTGAGCTTGTGACTTGGACAGTGTTGGCGAAGTGCAACACTGGAACCTTCCCAGATACATCTCAAAGAACTGGTCACGTTTTCCTGCAAGGAAGTTCTTGTTCTATATCCAGTTTCAGCCAGGTAGCCTTACATTTTGGTTTTCAATTTCCCATGAGTGGCTTTCTTGGACAAACTTAAAGACTAGGTTTTTGCTTTATATCTGCATTTCTGTGTCACTTCCAGCACTGCTTGTGAGAAGCATTAGTTATAGAAGTGGGAGGAAAATAAAGCAATGTATTCAAGGAGAAGGGAGTGCTTACAAAGGGAAGTGAGACACAGAGAAGTAACACAACAGTCCACCTACATCCCAGGCACAAATGAACTGGGCACTGATGGGCTGAGGTCAGGGCTCTCAAGCCTGACTTCCCCTTAGAGTCACATTGAAGGCAGAGCGCTTAACAAATACCAAGCCTCCGCCTAGTCACTGGGGTACCTCGATCAGTTGACCTGGGGTGACCATGAGCCCTGGGGATTTTTCACGGGTCTCCATGGGGCTGTAACGTGCAGCCAGGAGAGAGACACGGTGGCCTCGGTACCTCATTTGAGAAAGTCATCAAGTGTGTACTTTATTCTCATCTTTACTGAAAGTGAGTGCACATTCATTGACTTTTAACTCCTTTTCGTTTCAGTAAATGAAGTTGCTAGAAGTTAAACTTGGACAAGCATGATATAACTCCAGGTGGAATGAGATAAGACCTTCTGAACAAACAAGGTGGTTTTTTCTCTTAAAGTTTATTGTAAAAGTGATGTACAGCAGAGTTACAGTGACATGAATTGCACAATGAGTACATTGCTGCTTGAACAGTGGTTTTTTTTCCCCTTTCCTTTAATATAGTCTCTAAATGTTATTACTTAAGATTGTCCATCATCTGGGAATAGCTATGTCACTGATAACCAGTGATCTTGAATGGAAATATGCGTGCATGTTTTTTTCTTTTCTTCTAAGATTCAACTTTCACCAGTGCTCTTAGCCATATGACTGCATGCAGAAATTGGAAAAGGCTTTGTAAAGAGCTCGCCAGTGGTTTTGATGGTAAGACGTGGCTGGCAGGTGGAGTTTGAAGGTGAGGAGTGAGGTGAGGGCAGCCTATCACCGATGGCACCGAGGAAGTGCTCCAGCCCAGACGAGGCCCGTTAATGGCAGGTGAATACCCTGGAGATGTCTGCTGGCAGCACAGTTGAGGAGAAGTTGTTAGGTAGGAGTAGAACTGTGTACCTCAGCACAATGAGCAGGGAGTTGTGTGTGGGGGGGAGGGGGGGAGTGGTCCTCATACAAATCTGTTCTTGAAGCCAGGTGCCAGTGGCTCACGCCTGCAATCCTAGCTGCTCAGGAAGCTGAGATCTGAGGATCACTGGTCAAAGCCAGCCTGAGCAGGAAGTCCATGAGAATGAGACTCTTATCTCCAATGAACCACCAGAAAACTGGAAGTGGAACTGTGGCTCAAGTGGTAGAGCTGAAGAGCTGAGGGACAGTGCCCAGGCCCAACGATTGACAAAATAAAATAAAATAAATCTGTCCTTGAATGACTCCTCATTACTTGTTTTCTAGAACATATTACTAGCATACCTTCAGAAATTAATTGGAAATCGTTTCTGGATAAGGATGGGATCCAGGAAAAACCAACTTTCCGCCAATGTATTGGAAACGCTCTAGAGACACAGCTGGTGCTCTCCACATAGCTTTCTCCCCAGCCCCTGCTACCCTGGCTGTCTTGGCCGTGGTTCATGGGGCCCGCAGGATGCTTGTGCTGTCTCTGGTTCTACAACAATGGCTGTCCCCTTCTTCTGTTACCTCTCACTCCTGGGCCTCCACGTACAGTTTTATACCAAATCCGTTCCATGGCCAACATCTCTTTATGATTCTTTATTAGGACAATCATCCACATCCACACCTTCTAACACAAATTCGTAACTCCCAAACCTGCACCCATTATTTTACTAATTCATTGTCAACTTTCTAGCACTGTATTTTAATCTTACTCAACTGGTGACTGCCATATTTAGTCTAAATGCAATTAGATACATTTTGCAAATACTTTATATGGCATCCCATGCAACTGAAAGTTCCTATATTTATATTTTATTGTGACTTGTTTTGTGAATAATGTAAATATGGGGTAAATACCAGTGTGGACTGATACATTGAATGGTGGAGGAAGAGTTGGCAGCAGATGGAGATTGTGAGAAGTAATCTTTGCTAACCTGTATCTTATTCCAAGGATCAGACAGAGTTGTGATATCTTCCTGAGGGGGGAAAAATGAAATTAATACAAGGAAGTCATTATATTTTGCCATATGTTGCCACTTCACATTTCTTTTTAAGTTTTATTTTGAACTAGCATACATTAATATCACAAGGGTTTTGTTGTGATCATTCCATAGATGTGGACAGTGTATTTTGAACCAGTTCACCTACTCTAGGATATTTTTTTTCCTTCTGCCTTCTTTTCAAACAAAATGGAGGCAAAATGGTATTTATAACATAGAGTGTATCCAAGACTAATATAAATATACTAAGTGTCATGGATTTAGAGAAATGCATGGAACTCAATTTGTCCAGTTTAGTCTCTTTACAACCAGTGACAAGACATTTCATCCTTGGGGTCATGGAGTTTCTGTCCTCCCCTGTATCCTGGCTGTCGTTTGGGATGCATATACCCTGGAAATCTGGGTGCGCCTGCGTTACCCCAAGTTCTTAGGTCAGAATAGATCAAGTCCCCTGGGAGCACTCATGCTGACATTCAATATGAGACCCATGGAAATCAGAGCTTTACGGAAATCACTTGAGTTAGAAATCATTCTATCAAACCCCCTACATGAAAGAAAGAAGACTCACATTCTCAAGACGTTTTTTGGAAACCTGGCTAAAATTATATATAAAACAATATACATGCTTCTACATATATAACCCATGTGCTATAGCCATCATCTGCACACAAGCCTATGCACGTAGTATGCATCATATGCATCACATAGTTATTATGCCTATGATAAGTGACAGGCTCGCTTATACACCAATCAGGAGAGCTCGGGCAGGTCCCTCCTGAGCTATGGAACTAGATGGGAAATCCACACCTTTTTGTGTGTAGAGAATGTGGAGGAGAAAATGGGGTGGAATTCAGGAATCTGCAGAGGCAGCCAAAGAGGTGCCAGGATTTCCTCCTGCTGAGCCATTGTTGTGGTACCTCAGCAGGGATTGTGCAACACCTGCACTGAGCACTGGCTGAGGCTGAGCACAATGAGCCTGAGCCTGGAGTTCACTCTGTCTCTGGTGGGAGAAGGCAGGGGCAGAGCAGAGGGCAGGGCTGGCCTGCTGCCCTGGCCCAGCATGTGGCCAGGGAGTCTGGTGCTCCTGACTTTCCTCCTTGCTCCAGTTCCAGGTAGGACAGTACTCTTCCTTGGCTTCTGCAAAGTACCAGAGGGGTTTGCAGACTTTTTGTCTGCTCCTAGCAGTTCTGTTGTAGTTCTGTTCTCCCCTCTCTAATTTTACTAACCCATCTGATTGGTTTTATCACCTGTTGTTTTGAGGGGCAGGGGCCTGAAGTCTCAGGGTAAAGCAGAGATCTTGAACTGATATTGACATGTCTGAACTGAGGATATTTACAAAGGGGAAGATGACATAGGGCATCATATAAATAATGAATGTGACCTCTGAGGTTTGATCAAACGTTATCTTGTCATACTTAGTTTGTTGCCGATGCGATAGATTTCACTGACTGTGGCTGGGCGAAAGCTTCTGGGAATACTGGTTATTATCTGTTTGGCAACCTGTATTTTTCTGGACCACATATTTTTGTACACCTAATCCTTTCATTGTGGGTGATAATAAATACACAAATTGGAAACAAATTTTTCTGTCAACTTTTGTATAGAAAGCCTTGTGACATTACTGAACAGAAAATGTGTTTCAGTTAAGTGAAAGTTAATAATTCACTCTTGTTCTGTGGGAACATGGCTTCATAGTAATACAGTTCTTTTAACATGTGTCATCATTGATGGTACACGCTCAACTTGATTTTGGATAAAAGAGATTTTAGTAACACACTTCTCCAGCTGATTTCTATCTCCAGTGCACAAGCTGGCAAGTTAGTGGTGATTCCTTACCTGTTAAAATGTTTCTCGGGTCTTAGAATGTTGGCTTTTGCCTGGGGAATGAGAGGAATTTTTAATCAAAAGCATAGAGTAAGGGAAAGAAAGACTCTCCTTTTCTGCATCCACTGTGTACTTTGTCATAAAAATGGCTTTCTGATTTTTCAGACTTGTAAACATTTTACTTAATATCCTTAAACACAGAACTGAACTGGGCATGGAAGATTAAAAATCCTACTTTTTGAGGCCACGTTTGGTAGGTATGTTTCCAGAAATGGTATCGTCCACAAGTCGTAGGCTGAACGATTTCTTGCCAATCCTCACTTGAAAAATAAGAACATTCTGAGCTCTGTTTTCCCCAGAATCTCAGAGTCATAGGGCTAACCTGGAGGCCCCTATACTGCAGCCTTTCTCAGAGTCATAGGGCTAACCTGGAGGCCCCCCCCCCACACTGCAGCCTTTTCAGTGTAAGTGGGCTCCCTGGTTTGTTCTGCCCCCCTCAACAGTATGTTCACAACGTGGTATCCCCATGCCTGGAGGTGTGGCGTCTCCCTCCGCAGACGGTGGTGGGCTCATGGGTGCTAAAGTAGTTCCTGTGGAATGGGGAGGTGGAGCGGGCAGCTGCATGCTCACATCTCGCCTCTCCAGCAAACAGGTGCCCCCCTTCTTTTACCACCCAGCTTGTATTCCAAAGGACGGTGCACTCACGGTCGTATGGACCCTGAAATACCCCAGTCTTATTCCCATGGTTGTTATTTCCCAGCCGTGTGCCCGGTTCTTGTCACCAGAAAGAGAATGAGATATGAAATCAGAATAGATGCTTGTAATGAGCTTCAGACTCCCCTGAGAACATGACTTACAGGACTGCGTCATAGAGAAAGAAAGGGGAAAAGTATTTAAAAGCACATGATATGTGTTTGTGTGGCAGGGAGCAAAGGAGTATGTGGGTAAATAAGCTAATTCCATAAGGGTGGACTTCCATGGATGAACCAGAATATTCCAGAAGGACAGCCAAGGGTCTTCCTTCTTTTTGAAATTAGTTTATTCAAAACTGGCCACCATTTCCTTTCCCTTCTAAGATGATTGAAGACCTTAAGCTGTATATTCAGTTTAACCTCCATAGCAAAAACAGTGGGCTTAAATGGGATGCGACATTTTCCTCAAAGCTTATACTCCTGTTTCTGTATCAAGTTAAAGTGTACCAAGATAATTTGAGCTAATACAGAGACTCTCAGAACTAGAGTCATGGTCACTTCAGAATTCCTGATTTAGGGCTCAGTATTATGTGTTTAGTTTTGAAAACACATCGCTTTAATCAACCTAGAAAAGATTTGAACAAAAATGAAAATGTCAAGATTACAGTAAATGTTCCAGTCTCCAAAATGGATCCCAACACATTAACAAGTAAAATAGCGATCCAGACTGGAGTCTGTGTTGTTCATCCCATCCGGGAGCTTGGACTCTTATAATACTAACTAATGGTAGTGTTGTTTTTACCATTACCTAATAATTTTTATTTTCTTGATCCTGTTTTGCTGGTGAAAATTAATACAACATAGGAGTTCTGTGGGAGAGAGAAAGTGAGTATTAAAATAAATTAGTGGAAACAGATTATGTTACACCTTGGATTTGTGTAATCCCTGGATGGCAGTTACCTGTGTTTGTTCTACCAACTTCAAAATGATTAATGATATTATTCATTTTGGAGAAGGCTTCTCTGACTCCACCAAACTTCGGATGACTGAGGCAACTAATGTCTAAGTCTATTGTATACCTATGTGTGCGTGGAAATTATTCTATTGAAATCTCTTTATCTACGGGGCCTTCTCGCTTTCAGGAAAATAAGAGCCTTGAAGGGAAATTCTATCTGTTTGTTTTAGAGAACTCAGTATGTTGCAAGGATTTAGAATGAGCTGGAAAGCCACACATTTCATACTGAGAGAGAGAGAGAAGTTGTTGAAGGCTTTTAAAAGAGATCCTGGGATTTATTTTGCTTTGTTTTGATGTAGAAGTGCTCATCATGTGGAAGTGCTCACCATGGGACAATGCATTGGGAATAAACTGTATAATGAACATTTCAAGTCCATATTTAAGAGCCAGTTGGTCATTTCTGGCTTGGTGAAACATTAGACTCGAAGATTATCCGGAAGCATGGAGATCAGTGTACACAGCAGAGAAAACTAGTATGGGATGTATGTATGTATGTATGTATGGATGGATGGATAGACAGATAGATAGATAGACATACAAATACATACATACATACATACATATATACATACATACATACATACATACATCTGTATCCTTATCAGGAACATTTCAGAATGAGGTGTGTGTGTGTGTGTGTGTGTGAGAGAGAGAGAGAGAGAGAGACAGAGACAGAGAGAGAAAGACAGAGAGAGAGAGACAGAGACATTCTGCTTGTAGAGAAAAAAACCAGATGGAAAGTTGTTGTGTATTTATGAAGTTATTTATGAGTGAAAACAAGCTTATGTCCTAATGTTTCTTATTATAATCATATGCAGTATGGATGAAAACTGCTAATATGACTTTCTAAAGCTAGTTAATAAGGTGGCAACATTCCATAAAATGTGGCTTTACCACTCAACGTTAATGGGACCAATTGGATTGGTTAGACACTGTAGTACACCAGGAAGCATATTGGAACCTTATGGTACTCCTATTTTATGGCACTGAGCTGAAGGAGACTGCTGGAAATTGCACCAAGAATGATTTTCTTACCTCTTGGCATCTTATTGTGCTGAAGGAATTATGAAGATTGAACCAAATGGAAAGAACATGATTGAAGTTCCTCTTAGAGTTCTGTATATTCGTTCTGGAAAACATTTTTTAATAATGTATGTTATTCTGTTTCTTTATCATACGTTAATTAAATAGAAACAAAGGCATCTGTTGATAGTCTCTATGAATCAACTGAAGAAAGTTTGATGTTTTTCTTGAAGTGTCACAGTGTTGCAAGGCTTGAATTTTGTCACAACACGATTAGAACTTACTCGTGTAAATTATCATCCCTTCTGCAAAGACATTACAGAGGATTCCTTCCCTCAAAACTATAGAGGTTTGAACAAGCTTTAGCATTCATTTAACCTACCCCCTCTTTTCAAACAAATAAAACAAACCTCAAACCAATCTCTGGATTATGGTATTCTACTGTCAATATCCTTCCTTTTAAGTGTTTTTGAAATGTTCATTTGAGATAGTAACCACTCATTATTTACTCTCTAAGAGCTCTAAGTTCCAGCCAAATTTAACAATGTTTTCTAACCTTTCAGATGAAATGTAAATGGCTCTGGAATGATTAAAGAAACTAAAACTTGACATCCCTTGAGATATTTGGGGTTTCTACTTTCGTTCTTGAAGAACATTTTAAGAACTTTGTTTTGTCCTCTGAGATGTCTCTGGGGTAACTGAGAACTCCTCCCTGGGGACAGGTGGGCAAGTCAGCTGTGTGAGCACCTTGGTCACTCTTGTTTATAAGGTTAATTAGGGTGACACAGATTTATTCTAACATAGACGATAGGTTTGAGAGGTTTAATGACAGCCTCCAAATCAGACAGCACATGTAACACAAGCAAGAAACGCAAGCCTCTCCAATCCCAGGCCCAGTCTTAGGAAATAAGCACTTAAGTCCCAAGAAGGTGGTGGCAGTAATTTTGCAATTTGCTTTCAATGTAATTATTGGCTCAAAATAGTCTTACTCACCCTCATATTCAATGAAATAAGCTAGGCAAAAAGCCAGAGGTCACATATATCCCCTCATAGGTGGATGTTATACTTAAAATGTTTAAAAAATACATAATCATATACAAGATCATAGGTTTATTTGTGGATAAACACATTTGATCGATCTGAATAAAATACGGTATGTGCATCTGTAAGATGCCATGGTGAAGCTTCTCTTGCACAATCAACAGCACTCAAAGACTATTAAGAATTTGAAGCATGCCTTGTCTGGGGCCCAGGTACTAGGGGAAGGGAGCAGATGAATGCAGAGGGGAGAAAAGGGTAAATAGAGTCAAAATTCCCATGTCTGAGAAGGGTAAAAGGAATCTTGCTTAGACAGGTTTGGGAAAGGGAGTGGGGAAACTGACAAAGGAGTGATTGTAGCCAAGCAGCATTGTACACATACATGATTTGTTCAAATTAATCCCCTTATTCTACTATTAACTGATGTTGGGCCGGGGAGGGGAAGTGTGTGGCGAAAAAGGTCATTTCGGGTCAGTAGTTCTGCCCGATTCTTCTCTAATTTTTGCTTTCTCCATATTTTTGCACACAAAGGAATGAAGAGTGGATTTGTATTGCCTTTGCCCATTTGATCAACACATCATTGGACCCTTTTCTTCCTGTACCACAGTTTCAAAGTTGCTACTGGCAGATCCAAGACAACCATATTTGAATTAGAAATGGGGTGCACTGGCTGTTTCATGTTTACAACACTGTGGGGTATTCAGGGCTCCTCTGCTCAGTTACTTAAGGAAGTTGACTTTGGCTTCTACCTTTTTGTTTTGTCTTTTTCTGCTATGATTTATCTACTTAGGAAATCATTGCAGGGGACCCAGGATGACAAGAAGAAATGGGAACATTCAAAAGAAATATTGTCTCTACCCAGAGAAACACTTCCACTTTCAGTGAAAAACACTGCCAGCCCAGGCATGGCAGACATGAATCTTGGAAAGTCTCTGCGTAGCATGGTCCGTGGGGATTGCAGCGTGGCCAACCGTGGGCCAGCAGCCCGGTTCTGTGCTGCCGTGAAGTCTTCTTCCCCACACCTTTCTGTTTCAGTGAGAGGCACGAAAGAACTCCCCAAGGCAAAGAAATATGAAGTTGTCTATCCTGTAAGACTTCATCCACTGCACAAAAGAGAGCTCGCAGAGCCCAAGAACCAGGTATGCCTTCTGATTTCTCAGAGAATCTTCATCTGATGTTCGTGTGTGTATATGTGTATGTGTGTGTGTATGTGTATGTACACATGTGCATATATGCATAGGTATGTATGTGTATTCACACATGTTTACACATGCACATCTCAATGTTTCCATTGTATATGCACACACATTGTAAATTGAACATTTCAGTCATCATGCTTTAGAGTTAAATAATATTTATTTGTGCTCCTTTTTGACTTTCCATTTTTCCTTATAACTGAAAGGCCTACTCTTGGCTTCATTTTAAAATTTTATTCTGAAAAGTAAAATAAACAGTCTCAGGTAACAGTCTGGCCTTCAATGTTTTATGATAATGTAGGCTGTATACTTATAAAAAAGCTGCAATTTACAATCGATCTATCTGCCTATCTGTGGATCATCCATCCACACAGATACAAATATGGTCATTAAAGTGGGAGAAAATAAACTATTGCAAGTGAATGTGCACTTGCATTCTATCCCGAAATTTATCTTTTCCAAGCAGACAGCATTAAAATATGCATTCATCCTTATTCCTTAATGAACTATAATGCAATCTCAGTCAACATGCACCCAACACATTTTGTGAGTTGTAAGAGAAATTCAAAAAGGGACCAACGTTTAGTGAGGCAGTGTACCTCTGTAATCTCAGCACTCTGGAGGTCTGAGAAGAGAGCTGTGGGTTTGAGGCTATCCTGGGCTACATAGTATAACCTTGTCTACAAAACAAAACCAAGCAAAGCAAAGCAAAGCAAAGCAAAGCAAACCAAACCACCACCACCACCAAACCCTGCCACCACCGGTTACTGATATATAGGAGATTATCTGTACTAATGTATTGGAATTGATGAGCCAATGGATGCGATTAATGGAATGTGTAGATGTATAATTATAAAGTATTACGTATCCAGCTCAGTAGCTGAATGTAAATAGGCACAGGACCCTATGTTTTCCTAATCCACAGAGAAGAAAATTAGCATCTGAATTCAAATGGTTAGTTTGTGTTCACACCTTAACTTCGTCATTTCTCTCTGTGTAAATTCAGGAAGACACTGGTAATTCTTGGTCTGAAAGTTCAGGTAGTACTCATATGTATACTTTATGAATGTTTTGAGATGTTTGTTTTGTATGAAGCATGAGTCAGAATGCAAGTATTAATGGCATATTGGATGTTACTTGAACACTGATTAGGCATGCAACTCCCTTTTCTGGTGTGAAATTATCTAGGTCTATTACAAAGGTATTTTCTGTGTCTTTGATAGCTCTCTCTCTCTTTATTTGTTATTTTTTGTCAGTCATGGGGCTTGAACTCTGGGCCTGGGCGCTGTCCCTCAGCTCTTCGGCTCAAGGCGAGCGCTCTACCACTTGAGCTACAGTGCCACTTCCTCTTTGATAGCTCTCTACCTTTTCTTTTCCAAATACCCGCATCCTGTAGGACATAAAATTTTGTTCCCAAATACTTGTTGATTCAACTACATCTTTGCCAAGCACATCAATTTTATCTTTTCTTTGCTGGTCTTGGGCTTGAACTAAGGACCTGGGTGCTGTACCTTAGCTTTTTCACTTAAGACTGGCACTGCAGCATTTGAGCCATAGCTCCGTTTTTTAGATTTCTCATGATTAATTTGATATAAGAGCCTCTTTGGTTGGTCTTCCCAAGGTTGGCTTCAAACCACAGTACTCAATGCTCAACCTCCTAAATAGCTCAGATTACAGGCATGAGCTACCCACACCAGGCTGATCTTCTCTTTTAAAAGATGCATATAAAGATCAGAGATCGTTTGCCTATTAGGTAGAAGGGAATAAGCAGACATTAGGTAGCATATAATCTACTGCTGTAGAAAAGCCAGGACTGTCTGCCAAGATCTATACGGGTCGAAGCTGGCCAATAAACCTTCATGGCAGCTTTTTAATTCATAATGCATTTTTTTGCAGGCTCCATCTGAAACTGAAGTAACATACGAGGTGAAAGTTAATGGAAAAGTTACCATGCTTTATCTGAAGAAAAACAAGTAAGTACTTCTACCTCTGGTATTATCCTCACCACCAGCAAGCTAGGAGGTACAAAATGTGGAAACTGAATCTCATGCTACTTCCTGGTTCTGTGGAAATTTGTTTCTACTAAAGCAGTAATAACGCACTAGGTCAAACAGCTTGCTAGTGTTTTGACACTTTTAGAAATGAAACACAGTGTGTGAGCAGACATAGATTTTACTTCTTCTATGAAAGAGATGGAGAAATTCCATGTCTCACTATGCTATGATAGTTTGGTTTTCCTCTTTGCTATTATAATCGATCAATATGGCAGGATGATATTAGAAAACCATTTGTATCTCAGAAAAGAACAAGGCATCATAAATCTCTATGAAATTCTGGGATTAAATACAAATATAAAAATAACGGCAAAACCAGAACTTGCTCTTTCTCCTCTCCAATATTAGGCTTCTTCCTGCCATTCCAGCCACTCACCTATCCTCTTTCTCATCTATTACACTGCCTTTGATTCCTTCATTCTTTCCATTTGGCCCCTCTGAATTCAACATTGTGTTTCCAACTCACCTGCCTGACCAGATCTTGCTCGTCCTGTATCTACACTATTATAATAGTCGTGTTTTCCTAAATCTGTGCTTTCCAGTTTTCAATCCTTAGCTTCATTCTCTGGACTTCACAGTTCACACCAGTAACCAAGCTCTTTTTCTTCCCCCAGGAATCTCCTTGCACCTGGCTACACAGAAACACATTATAATTCCAATGGAGAGATGGTCACCACAAGCCCACAGATCATGGTATAGAAGTCCCTGGTAATGGGGAGGGGGATGCGCCCAGGGACCCAAATATAACAACTCTGCCAGGCAAACAGTAGTGAAACTCCACTTATAGCCTTTGTGTTGCTTTTAAATAGCAGTATTAAACTTCATTACTTATCTTCCAACTTTTTAACATTTTCCCCCTCAGAACAATAGCATTCCTAACACCTTCAGGAGCCTTTTCCATCCTTAGAGGAAGGTGGGCTGAAGAAACCCATGTTTTCTTTCAAGTAGCTTTCTACAGAGTGATTCCATTGTCTGGAGACACTTCTGGTGGCCCCAGACAATTCAGATCCCCTCTCTGGATCCTGGGGTCTCTCCACCTGAAGACTTTAGCCTCAGTGGAGGTTGTAGATATCCATGTTTTCCTCCAAGACAGTTCTACTCTTTGATCTCTGTCAAGAGCCCGCTTCTTGCCTTATACTGAACACTGGTGCAGCAGGGCCTTCTACGCAGAGCTACCTTTTCTCTTGGAAGCCTTCTGATTTTTCTCCACTGTGGCAGCTGTGAACACATTCACACATGCCGTCACCCCTCTCTGTGTCCCACAATAGCAAAGTCCCACATGGAACACTACATGGAAAAGCCTTGAGAATGCTACTCTGTGACCCATGAGTACAGCGTGTGTTGCACAGATACACTTGAATTCAGTAGAACTCTCTGGATACATTAAAATATACAAATGTCAATCTGAATCACCTTCTAGTTGGGAAACATTTAGTAGATCTTAGAAGAAAAAGTTTTAATGGTTAATCATCCATAAAAGGGAAAGAAAAGAAAAGGAAAGGAAAGGCAGTGTTTGGAAGATTCAAGTTTTAGATTTATGTGATTGATCTATGTCTTCAAGTAATAGTCAAACTTTTTTATTCTATTCCAGCAGTTCCCATATGTAATTAGTACTTCATTTTCATTTGTTGGGATAATTAACTCAAATGAATCATTTTAGCTCACACAGAAAGCCTTTAGAATTCATTTTTCCCCTTATCTACATTAATTGTTATGCAGCAGAAAGTCACTGGGAAGGTCCTTCTGTAAGATTTCAAACTTGAATTTACCAGGGAGTTATAAAAACCATGAATCTCCAGAAGGCCCTTTTCTCTTTCCTTTAGGATAACTGCTACTACCAAGGCCATGTCATTAATGCAGAAACTTCTGACGCCAGCATCAGCACGTGTGAGGGTCTCAGGTAAGACTTCGTGAATGTCTTCAATGTACTTGTGATCACAGACAGGCAGGTGTAAGGAGTCTCAACTCCCAGGTATAATTAGTTATGCTACATTGATTATGAATTCTACGCTTATAAAAATTTAAGTTTGAAGCAGAAGCCATTTCCTTTTATAAAAGTATGTAAGTTGCAGGCTGGGAAGGTGGCTCAGTGGTAGAGCGCTTGCCTTGCATGCCTGAGGCCCTGGGTTTGATTCCTCAGCACCACATAAGCAAAAAAGAAAAAACCCAGAAGTGGCACCGTGACTCAAGTGGTAGAGTGCTAACCTTGAGCTGAAGAGCTGAGGGACAGCGCCCAGGCCCAGAGTTCAGTCCCCACGACCGGACCCTCCCCTTCCCCCCAAAAAAGTATGTAAGTTGCACATTGGGCTTGCTTTCAGAATGGTTTTGTTTCCCTGTTACCTGGATTCAGTTTTAGTGTCAAAGACCTTTAGGAAATGAGAGTTCCTCTTCTCTCCTTCTCCCCATTGTGAATTTCTCCCTCCCCATCCCCTTCTCTTTCTCTCTGTCTCTGTGTACCATATCTTATTCATAACCATGGCATCTATTTCTTTTCATCTCTGTGTGTCTGTCCATGGTAATTTATCCGCTGATTATCTAATTTCCTTTTCTCTATTTCCAGTTGACTATTGTAAGGCGTCTCAATTTCAGAGTGTCCTGAACCTAAAGATTGTCTCATGCATTGGGTATTTTTCCTGTGTTTGCTATGCCAATCAATAGCATAAACAACATATAATTTCCCATCCAGAATCAGAACAACTCAAGCACTTCTTGCTCATGCCCTTCCATGCTACCTCGCTTCCCTCATTAAAGCCCCACGAGAGCTTTTATGTAAACCATTGGAAAAAGAACTCATGATTCATCTGCCAGATCCCCCTCTTGGTATCTTGCAATTTTACACCCAATTAAGCTACTCTCCCTGTTAATATAATCTCCCTATTATATACTCTTGTGTTTCTTTGTCTATTGTAAGTATGTCTATCATATACATGATGTATATGTATATGTATTATTTGATTATTTTATATGTACCCATTTCCTCATTTGAATAAGGTCCATGAGAGAACCCACCACGACTGTTTTTTAAAAAATATTTTGTATTTTTTCATACCTATCCTTAGTTCTATGTCTAATGATTAATGGGGTCCTTGCTGCATATTGTAAATCTAAACTCAGCACTTCAGCTCAAGAATTGAGAAGAAATTGTCAAAAATGCATAATCACATGCTTTGTGTGTTATATGTTATGATCTTCATCATTATTCTATTAGATAAACAGGTATTATGACTTTCATTGGGTAGACTGAAATAAAGGCCAAGTGAATTTAAATATTCTACCCATGGTATCATGGGTAATCTGCGACAGACCTAGGATTTTAACACTTCACCTACAAGATCCCAGTCTCCATCATTTTTAGAACACCCAGAATAGACAAAGCTGGAAAATCAGGACAGTGTGTTGAGTCAGGAAATAACTCTACTAGTGTCAGAACTGACGTGGTGGGTTACCTGATGTTGCTATGGGCTTTTCTCACTAGCAGATCCTAAATCCATATAGAGTAAGTATATACAAGTAGTTATTTAAGAGCATCACAAGCCAGGCTCATGCCTGTAATCCTAGCTACTAAGGAAGCTGAGATCTGAGGATCATGGTTCAGAGCCAGTCCTGACAGGAAAATCTGTGATACTCTTATCTTCAATAAACCACCAGAAAACCAGAAGTGGCACTGTGGATCAAGTGGTAGAGTGCTTGCCTTGAGTTGAAGAGCTCAGGAACAAGGCCCAGGCCCAGAGTTCAAGCCCTACAACCAACTCCCCCCCGCAAAAAAAGAGCATCACCAGCTACAAGTTTCATCATATTCTATCACCATTAGATGAATCTGTCTTGGCATTGACTAGCAATTTCAAGAGGCTGCTTTGTTTGATATCACCTGTAAGTCTGTACAACCTAAATGCAAGAACTCAGGAAGCAACTCAAATTCTCCTGTTCTTCAGGGGCTACTTCAGCCAAGGAGGTGAAAGGTACTTCATTGAGCCCTTAAGCCACAGGAACCAGGATGACCAGGAACACGCTCTCTTCAAGGAGGATCCTGAAGAAGACGTGGTCAATGCCACCTGTGGCTTGGGTGATGTGTTACGGGCCCACCAATCACACCACAGTGTGGATTTACCTGCCACCAGAGTGATTGTACGTATACTCTGATTTTTAGTTTGTGTCCCTGACATGTAGGATGGATGACCTGTGTTCCAGTCTTAGCAATGCAAATGACTTTACATTTTACAGTAGCTGTTGCCAAGTTGTAGATTGTAGAGACATTGATCATAAAGATTGCATTGATAGTTTATTTAATAAGCACTTGTTGGTCAACTATTAGTATCTACAAGGTACAAGGGTTTAAAAGAAGTCTGAAATACAATACCTGTCCTGTCAACTCTTTCCAGGCTACAATAATTAAAAAAGACAACAAATCATTATTATTAGTTGGAAAATCCTAATTTCTTCATGAATGCATTCAGTAAAACTTGTCTTCAAGAGCACAGAAAAAAAAAACAGTGGGCAAAGATGTAGAATATGCTGCAGGAGCAAAGAATCTGCTTTACTATTATTTTATTTCTTTACTTCAGCAGATAACAGAAACAAAGAATATTCTTTTGTGTCTAAAACTACGAAGCGTAATTTGGAATATTTTTGTAAGGATTGCTTTTGTTGCTTTCAATATCTACTTCAAATCTCATCCTGTCTTCTAAATGTTCTCAGAGTTGACACCCACTGAGCAGACTTGTTTCGATAGCCTTGGGGGTTGAATCCTTTGCTGTCAGTTTAAATTCTACCAGTGTAACCTAAGAGCCTAGAAAAACCAGTCCTGGTTACATGGTGCTGTGAATGTTGGCACAAAAATCTAGTCCTCTGTTTTAGTTCTCTACTAACCAAGTTGAGACAGCCTTGCTTTCCTGACACGCTGGTTATTTTGGATTTCCTTCCACCTCAGTGACAAAGTAATAGATATGAACCAGAACAGGAATTTAAAAAAAAATGACTAAATTCTTGATTTCAAGAGTTGAAATCAGGAATTCTCTGTTTCATGGCAGGATGGTGGAGAAAAATCCACTGTTTTCAGATCTGTTCAAGTTCCCCTACTAATTAACTGTCAAATAATTGATTGTGGTTATCTAAGGGGCTTAGGACAGATTATTGTTTAATGTCTCTTCTCACTGTAATGTTCTGAGCCTTGTCTAGTGAACATTCTAGCTGTTAAAATGGAAATATTATCAGCCTTCATTCTCATTCAAGACCTCTTATGAAATTGTACATATTGAGCAAGAGAAGGAAAAATGCTGTCTTATTAATATTCCTCTTTATATTTCAGAAGATGCATGGTGGGAAGAATCAGGAACAGAAGAAATATATAGAATATTATGTGGTCCTGGATAATGGTGAGGTAATTAGAGCAGACAGATGTGTCCTTTAAAATCCTCCTCTCTGCACACTTACTATGTGAGACAGTCATGTCTGGATCTCTTTTTAAATATCATGAGCTATTGTGAGAAATATTCTAAACCTATGAAATCTGATATTTATAAGTAAGCTGATAAGATTTCTCCTTTTCAGAATTAGGTATCTTTTATGGTCTGCATAAATTGAATAGTTGATCCTATAATGCACTTTCTTTAATGCCTTAAAAGCTCCAAACATAGTTTTGGATTAATTTCTTTTGCCATATTGGATTCTGCCAAGCACTTAAACGCTTATAAATGCATATTCCTCACGAAACAGTAAGTAGAAGGGTTCAATGTCTCTTTGGCAAAAGGCAAGTCTTTGTAGCTACTCACAGTTTATCTTTTATAAGAGTGTATTTTCATAGAGTGGAATCTCCCATTCCCTCCCCTCCCCTGCTCTCCTCTCCCTTCCCCTTTCCCCCTCTCACCCCCTCCCCTTTCCCCCTCTCACCCTCTCCCCTTTCCCCCTAATAGCCTCCTCCTCTCCTCTCCTCTCCTCTCCTCTCCTCTCTTCTCCTGTCCTTTCTCCAACCCTGGCCTTGTAGGTGCTAGGCAAGTGCTTGACCACCTGAGCCATACTCCCCTCCATTCCCTTTGTCTTATGCTTTGTTTTTGAGACAGATTTTCATTAATTTGCCTGGAGTGACCTCGTGAGCCTCCTGCTCTGCCTTCTGAGCAGCTGGGTTTACAAGCATGTACCACCATGCTCAGGTTTTGTGATCTTTTGAGACAGGTCTGACTCTGTAGCCAGGTTAGTCTCAGCCTTTCCAATCCTCCTGGATTGGGTCTCCCAAGTGTTGGGATCACAAATGTGAGCTAGGCCAGAATCTGAAGAGCTTCACATGGACCCAGTGCTTCAAGGGAGGAACCGTTGCCTTGGCTCCCAAAACATCAAAAACCAATTTGATTCCAACTTTTCCTGTTAGCATTAGTAATTGATTCTTAATTACAATCACTGATAAGTGTTATCAGCTTGCCTTTCTTTTCTTCCTTCCTTTCCTTCATTTGTTCTTTCTACTAATGCCTATTCTTGTTTGTTTTCCCTTAGTTTAAGAAGTATGGCAAAAATCTAGATGAAATAAGAAAGAGAATATTTGAGATGGCCAACTACATTGACATGGTATGATACCTTTTATTGCATATAGTCATGCATTTTTCTAGGAACCCAAGAGGGAAAGCCAGGTCCTCAAGACTCATGCTCTTCCTGTCTCCAGCTGGGTGACCATGCCTTTTCCTACTTAAAATTTAACATCATCCCATTGCAGACACCTTTCTTGCCTACTCCCTCCACTGATCTGAGGCCCATGAAGATTTAAAAGCTGGTTTCAGTGGGATGCTGATCACTGAGAACAAAATCCCCACAGCAAACCATGCAAAGGGGGAAAATTCCATCAGTGCATTACTAACTTAATCCTCACCAGAACATAAGTCAGATACGCATAGTAACTTGCATAGCATCACAGCCATCGTAAGCAACAAGATAGGCCTGGAATGGAGATCTGTCAGGTTCTAAAGCTCAGCTCAGCCATACAGTGGTTGGTGGTGCTCTTTAAACCTGACTCTGTCACCTAAAATACTAATAATGCTCGTGCATCCTTTTTAATGAAATATTGTAAATTCCTGGTTGGTTGCAGTATATAACTGGTTGAATATATACACTTTGTTTGAAATAAGAGAATCTATTAGTAGTGCCTGCAAGTCCTCTAAAGGCAGAAGAAACCAGCAGGGATTCAGTATCGTAGGCCATTGCTCATCCTCTAACCATGGAGACCACACTGAATTTTCCTATGAAACTCCAAGCACTAGGCCTCCATTACTAGCACTTTCTTTGTGCTAAGTACTTTCCTGTGTTGCAGACAAACATGGAGAACATGTTTTTCAAGTAATTCTTCCTTGGAGGAGTTAACATTTCTCTGAGGGAGACAAAGGTATATGCAGAGGTAAATAGCACTGTGTGTGGTGATAGATGCTGTAATAGAAGAGTTCTAAGGGGGGTGGGGAGCTGATCACAGGGCCAGGCTGAGCTGCAGAATCCTCTCTCTGACAAGGAGACATCTGAGCAGACAGCTCAAGCAGGGGAGAGCAGGCCTTGACCCTGTGGAGCACGCACACAGTAGAGGGAAGGCCCTGAAGGCACAGTTAAGTTGTCAAGTTTGAGAAGGGGCACGGAGGATCATGGGTGACCCTAGGAAGCTGGATCAAGGGTCGTGGGAGATGCTGTGTGGCAGGTAGAGGGGACAAGTCTCTGAGCACCTAGGTGGCCTAGGGGAGGACTTCGCCTTATTCGTCACAATTGAGGAAGATGCTACGGAGCCTGAGCTTCGGTGTTCAGGTGCACGTTCTTAAAAGTGATATTAGGCCAGGCATGATTCTACTAACCCATAATAAATGTTCATAAGCTTAGCTACTCAGGTAAGATATCCAGAGGATTGTGGTTAATCCAGAAAAAAAGTTGTGATACCCTATCTCGGCAATAAAGTCAGGCATGATGGTGCATGTCTTTAATTTCAGTTACATGGGAGACATAGGAGTATCATGGTATGAGGCTACATGGGTAAACCTGTGAGCCCCTATCTGATTTATCAGTGAAACAAAAAAGAGGATAGCTTGAAAGTAGGCCTCTTGTCTCATACATATAGCTTATTTTCTCTTTAAATTTTACGTCTGCATTGTGGCTTTTACAGTGTCGTTATAAGTGTTTTTAGGAATAAAGTCCGCTGGAAATATTATAAGACAGTGTCATCATGCTAAGTCACTGTGGCTGCCGGGCCTTCTCTTTGGACAGCTGTATAGAAAGCTCAATGCAACCGTGGTCTTGGTTGGGCTGGAAATCTGGACGGACGAGGACAAGATCAAGATAACACCCAATGCAACCTCCACCTTGGACAACTTTTCTAAGTGGCGGGGGAGAAACCTCCTCAGCCGGAAGCGTCACGACGTGGCTCAGTTGGTTTCGTAAGTGTTGATCTTCCCCTCTGCCTGCCATCGGGACTTTAGCACGGAAGGTTTTCAAAGACTCGGCAATGCAAGGGACATCTTAGGGAACAGGTCAGACGAGGTTTAGGTACAAGGCTGTAACGTTTCAATCACTCACTCACAGCACAAGAAATTTAATCATGGTGAAAGACGTTCCAGTTGTTACTATGTGATGGAATCCACGTACTTCACTTTCAAGCAATATGAAAGACACGAGAGAAAACAAAATGTCTCAAGCCATCTCAAGAACTGAAGGAGAAGTTTAACAGGGAAGAGCACACTGGGAATTTCTTGGCTGACCATTGAGAGTGCTGCATGAATTGACTACAGGCTATCTGCTTGTAGAATCATAATTTTTGTATCTGTTTGTTTCTTTCCTCTAGCTCTGAAGACTTTTCTGGAGCAACTGTGGGCCTTGCTTTCCTCTCTTCCATGTGTTCACCTTATCACTCGGTTGGCATCGTTCAGGTCTGTTTGAAGATCAACAGATGGTTGATCTAGAATGTACTTTTGCCAAATGCTTCCCCTCTCTGGTCTGTGACAATTATGAGAGTTAATGTCCTGTCCTCTATTGCCTACAAAATAACTTTGATTGAATTATAAATGCTCACCTAATCTTGGACTCCAGGAGAAATCCAACCTAGTCAGGAGAGATTATTTTTTAATACATCTATGATCATGAGGGATATTAGACTATAGTTTTCTGTTCTTATACTGTGGTATTATTTGTTTTGTTATTATAAAATAAGTTACAATATATTCCCAACTCTTGGATATTCTCAAATCCTGGAGTTGAATTTGCTACTATTCTTTCTAAAATGTTTAGTACAATCCACCAGTGACATCACATGAGACTAGACTTTTCTTTGTAGAGAGTTTGATTACAGAGCTCATATCTCACTAGACAGTAAGTGCTGTTCAGATTATGCTTCCTTTAACTGGGGGTGAAGAAGAGTAGTAGGATTTTAACACAGGGCCTTGCACTTGCAAGGCAAACACACTACCACTAGAGTCAAGCCCCAGCCCTTTGGGTTTTAGTTCTTTGCCAGATATAGTCTTATACTTTCTCCAAGGGCTGAGCTCAGACCAGGATTGGCTTACTGCCACTGCCTGCATAGCGGGGTTAACCACAGGAGCCACCCCGTTCAGTTTGTTCTTTAAGATAGGGTCTCACTTTGCTAGGCCTGGCCTCAATCCACAAGCCCCCTATCTTAGCCTGCAAAGTAGATGTGAGCCACTGCACCCAGTGAGATTGTTTACCTTACCTTAAGCAACTCTAGTGGTTTTGTCCTGACCCTAAGTCTTTTTGTTTCTAATTTAATCTATTTCCATTCTTATCTCCATTATTTCCTTTCCTCCTTATACTGCATGTAATTCATTCTTTTTTAATACTCAATCTCCAAGATACTTTCCTATCTATGTTTACATTTTGTCTGGCTCAGAATCTTTTCTTACATTATTTGTAAAAGCACTATACTAACTTCCATTATTTATTTTTGTTTTTATATATTTACATATTTTAATCTATTTTATTGTTACTGTGGAGATGATGTACAGCGAGGCTACACTTATATAAGGCCAGTGATGAGTACATTTCTTTCTGTACCATGTCACCCCCCTCTCCCAGTTTTTTGCTCCATTTTTTTTTTACAGGGTAACTCATACTTTGTTGAATTTCAATACTGGTCATTGTTAATGTTTGTTCTTAGCCAATGCTGCACGCATCCTCTGTAACTATTAAATAGTTTGCTTTCATGCTAACATGTGGTATTAATGTACAATGTTTCTCAGGTCCTTTCGACCCTAAGATTTGAGAGGGCGTTGAAGTAGTTGTGTATAACTGTAGGTTTCTCTGTTTCATGTGGAAGTTTCTACAATGTAGATTTTGAAGTTCAGTTGTTGGTTACTTACATGAGAACACTTTGTATGCTTTTTTGGAGAATCAAGCTTTTACTCATCACACCACCACCCTGAAGTATGCAACTCTGGAGTGTTTCTTGTTTCTCCTGTGATATTAATTAACACAGCTACTCCATCATTCTGTGGCATGGACATGTGTGATAGCACCTCCTCCCTAACTGTATTTTAGCCTGCGTATTTCCTTTTACTTAGATTTATGGTAGGCAATATATAATTGGATTTCACTTTTTTATCTAATAGAAAAAATCTATCTTTTATGCATTTGTCTTGACTTTTACCTTCTGTCTGTTTTTTTTAGTTTTTCATATATATTTTATTATATTATTTGATTGTATTATTTTTAGTGTTTTTCATACGTCCGTTCCTGTCAATTTACCTTGAAAGAACGTCATACTGCTTCAATGTGATGTAAAAGCTTCACAAGAAAATACTCGTGTTCTTTTCTTTCATGCATTGCGCTAATTATAGGTTTATGCTTGTTATAGATGAGAGAAATTCATAGTCCAATGTTACTAGAGTAGCCTTAGTAGTCTTTCATTAAAACTTAAAATAAGAAAAATGTAGACCTACATTTGTCATCCTGTTTTCTTTTTTTTTTTTCATTTGTCATTCTGTTATCCCCACCAGTCTTTTTTGTAAAGATCCAAGTTTCTAATCTGGCATCATAGTTTTTCCTCCCTTTGGACCTTTTAGATCTTTCTTTTTCTCTTATTTATTTATTTGTTTATTTGGATTTATTTGTATGTGAACCCAGGGCTTGGGCACTGTCCCTGAGCTTTATTTTTTGCTCAAGGCTCGTGCTCTACCACTTGAGCCACAGCTCTACCTCTGGCTTTTTGATGAAGTGGAGCTAAGAGTCTCACAGACGTTCTTGCTGGGCTGGCTTTGATCCATGATCTTCAGATTTCATCTTCCTGAGAAGCTAGGATTACAGGTGTGAGCCACCAGAACCTGGCAGAACTTTGATTTTTTTTAATGTTTCTCCTAAAACAGGAGTTTTGCTTTTTGGCAAAAGACTTTATACCTTGCTTTCATGTTAAGTGTATTTTCACAGACAGTTTGCCTTTCTATAACCCCAACTTACTAGTGGATTCAAGAGAAGTTCCAGTTGTTTACCTGCCTGTTCTTGCAGGAGGAAGAATCACACTCTCTCCTGCTTTCTGCACCCTGTGTAGAAACGAACCCAATGTATGTTTAGTGACGGACAAGCACCTTAGCATGTACCAGCTATGTGATGGGCCTCAAGGACTAGACAAAAATAAAATACACACTGTCTCCCTGTGACAAGCTTATTGTGATATGTTGTAATGGACATTCAGTGTCACAGGGCTCTGTGTGTGTGTGTGTGTGAGAGAGAGAGAGAGAGGGGGGGGGACATGGGGGAGCATGCTGGTTAAGAACACATCCTCTCAGTTATCATTTCACTTGTTTCTCCCTTCTTCTCTGCAGGACCACAGTAGCAATCACCTTAGAGTGGCAGGGACCATGGCCCATGAAATGGGCCACAACCTGGGAATGTTTCACGATGACCTCAGCTGTAAGTGTCTGTCTGCGGTCTGTGTGATGGAGAAGTCCATGAGGTGAGACTCTGGATCCCTGGTGCTCATCCCGTCTGCCCTCCCTAAAAGTTATCTTCAAAATTTGACGTTCCATTATTGAATTAACCCCAAGACAAGATTTTTATTAATTAAGAAATAGTTTAACATATTGTGTGTTTGCTGATGGGGAAAATGACCCTTTGATCTTCACTGTACCTGTACAAGACTTAGAGCCAGGAAGTCCTTAGCTTTCAGTGAAATTTTCCATGAACTCAGAATGATTGATAGTAGACACAATTTTGGGGAAAGTGCATAATGGAAGAAGGAATTTCTCAGTTTGTGGAAAGCTATTACATGTTCTTTCTTCGCCTTTGCTTTTATATTTTTCTTTTATCTTTCCTATTCTTACCCCCCACAGTGCACATAAGCTAGGACTATGCACCATTCCCTTTACAAAATAGGAAAAGGCTTTGTCAGTAATGCACCGTGCCAGCTCATCTCTCCCAGATATTATTGCATTAATTTTATCTTTCTTTATGTGATGAAAAATTGTCACTTGGCCCTTATCTAAGGGCATATGAATTTTTTTAGACATATGGATAAATATGACTTTCTTATCTTTAGGATTTGCCAACTCCACAGTAATCTAAGGCTGAAAAGGTTATCTGGATAAACCAGAAACATTTTTGTGTTATTAAAAATGGTCTGGAGTCGTGCACTGGTAGCTCACACATGCAATCCTAGCTACTCAGGAGGCTGAGATCTGAGGATCATGGTTCAAAGCCAGCCTGGGCAGGAAAGTCTGTGAGACTCTTATCTCCAAAAACCCACTCAGAAAACTGAAAGTGGCACTGTGGCTCAAGTGGTAGAGCACTTGCCTTGAGCAAAAGAAGCTCAGGGACAGTGCCCAGGCCCAGAGTTCAAGCCCCAGGACCAGCAAAAAAAAAAAAAACCCAAAAGCAAAAATAAAACCAGTCTGGATGGTCCATTTTGAGATATGACCATGTTTTCTCATTAAACTAGATGAGTTGTTCATGTCCAAACCAAGCAGGTTAATTTGGGTATGCAAATGAGCTCATGATTCAGCATTGGGTCAGTGGATTTGGTCTTTTCTTGTGTGTGTGTGCTGGTCCTGGGGCTTGAACTCAGGGCCTGGATGCTGTCCCTAAATTTTGTGTTCAAGGCTAGTGCTCAACCACTTGAGCCATGGTTCCACTTTGGCTTTTCTTTTTATGATTAATTGGAGATGAGTATCATGGATCTTTCTCCCTGGGCTGGCTTTGAACTATGATCCTTAGATCTCAGCCTCCTGAGTAGCTAGGATTACAGGCGTGAGCCACTAGTGCCTGGCTAGATTTAGTCTTCTGGGATAGGTTGTAGGTCTAATTGTACCTAATTTCAGACATTGCTTCCAATATGCTAAAAGCAATTGAATTCCATTGCCTCTTGATTTATCTTCACAGATTCTACATGCCTACAGACTTCAGTTCCTGCAGCCGTGCCAACTATTACAAGTTCCTTGAAGACAAATCATCACATTGCCTTTTAAATACTCCACTGCCCACAGATATCATTTCTGTCCCCGTGTGTGGAAACCAACTGGTAGAAATGGGAGAAGATTGTGATTGTGGGACCCCCGAGGTACTGCCAAACTTCTTCCAAATTGACTCATTTATTTATCAACTGTTAAGAAGCTAAGCTATGGAGGAATATGTGGCCAGCGTAATATTGCTTGTTTTCATTTTGGCTGTGTTCATGGGTAGGCACATTTTAGGCCCATCTCTCAGTTGAGCTTGTGTAGTTCTGTTTCCAGGTCCTTCCCATTTTTAAAATTTTTTTTTAAAATACCAACTTAGGACTTGTTACCCCAACCCCACATTTTTTGTGGAAATACTTCAATGACTCACTGAGTGTTTCTTTAGGCACAGCACTGTGACAGTGCTTAGAAAGGACAAATAGCTTCTTGGCTTAAGGTCACAGAACTAGAAACTGGAAGAGCATCTGGAAGTCCAGCCCCGGCAATATAGCATCTGGCACATTCTATTCTGCTTTGGGATTCTGAAGTTGTTACTGTGAGAATCATGCCCTGTTCTCATCTTGTGCCTGGTGCAGCCAGGATTCTCAGTGGGGCCTTTGTCCTGCCCATCCCCAATCCTAAAGTATTAATACTTCAAAATACTCTATAAAAGTGTTTATATCCAGTGAGCAAGAGTGATCTCTTCCAGGTGATATTTGCAGTGGAATAAAGGGTAAAGGTGTTAACTCTAGCAAGTTATAACTCTAAAAATCTGTGTTCCACAGGGATCAAGGTGGCTGCTAGGGAAATCATAAAGGTTCAATGCTTCATTGTCTTGTGCAGACACGTTTCTAATTTCTCAGAAGCAAATCAGGGAGACCAAGACAAATGACACTGCTTTAAATAGAATTGAATTAAATGTCAGAATCAGATAAAAAATTGTGTCTTCAGTTTTTCAGAACTTATTATGAACAGTGAATTTACTGCTAATTAGATACATAACTAATAAGCTTAACTATGTCCTACAAGTATTTAATAAGCTTTATTATTACATAGTTATATTTTTAAAGACTCTTGTTTCTACTTATATTAGGAAGAATAGTTTGCTTTTATTTTTGCTCTTTTTTTAAAAAAAACAACTATTGGGAGACATGAGGAGAATGATAAAATGACATTTAAGATCAAGATACATTGTACTCACAAACTGACAAGTTGAATTCAACCCCTTTGCAGAACTAATTAAAGATAATAAACAGAGACAAACACAGCTATTGATATGAGGTTAGAGAAAATATATTTAATACATCCTAGCTACTCAGGAGGCTGTGATCTGAGGATCACTGTTCAAAGCTGGCAGGAAAGACTGTGAGACTCTTCTCTCCCTTTAACCATCAGAAAACCAGAAGTGGTGCTGTAGCTCAAAGTGGTAGAATGCTAGCCTTGAGCAAAAAAGCTTAGGAACAGTTCCTAGGCCCCAAGTTCAAGCTCTATGACTGACAAAAAGAACAAAACAAAACAAAGGTATATAAGTACAATTCAAGCATTTACTCCAGCACATTTTAAATGCTAAGTTTTTTAATCTTTTATTTTCCTAAAAATCACTTTTAGATTCTACCAAATCAATGTGCCTACACATAAATGATGTTATAAACTGTGCCAAACTGAGACCAAAAAAAAAAAAAAAAAGTAACCCATGGCTTACATTTGCTTCTGATGCTTCTTAGGAATGTACCAACCGTTGCTGTGATGCGCGGACCTGTCGAATCAAAGCAGGCCTCCGATGTGCTTCCGGAGAGTGCTGTGAAAGATGCCAGGTAGGGTGAGCATAATCTGTTTCAATCCTTGTGGCCATTGTTTTCTACATTGATGTCTCCGTTTTTATGTTCAGTGAAACAGTCAAAACAACAGTGTTCTCTCTATAGAGTGATACTAATTTTGACTAAACATTCCTAGAGGGATTTTGTGATATTAGGAACCATGGGGGGGGTAAGATAAAGGCCTCCTCTCTCTCTGTTTCTCTCTCTCTCTTTCTGCAGTTTAAAAAGGCCGGGGCTGTGTGCAGAGCAGCAGAGCATGAGTGTGACCTGCCGGAAATGTGTGATGGCAAATCCAGTGACTGTGCCGAGGACAGGTTCAGAGTCAACGGTTTCCCTTGTGGTAACGGCAGGGGCTACTGCTTGATGGGGAGATGCCCCACCCTGGAGCAGCAGTGTAAGGAGATGTGGGGGCCAGGTAGGGCGCACCCTTCTTTCTATGCACATGCAGACCGATGCGCGGGTGGGCAGCGTGGGATCAAGGCTGAAGGAGTGGTCTGGTCCGTTCTTCTGAGAAACGGTGGCATTGCCCCAAACCGAGGAGGAATGCATTCAAAAACTGAGAGATCAGAATTTGTCTGACTCCATAAAGATAAGGATGGCCCAGTAACTTTTTTCTTCCCCTTTCAGAGTAACAACTATTTGTTTAGGATCCGTGTACTCATGTAGTATTAGAGATCAACTTAGAAACAACTAAAATTCAAGTTCAACTAGATGGACTGCATTTCATCTACCACTACTAACATCCCTGTCAGACAAGGAGACCTGAGAGTATATGTGTGTACATGTGTGCATGTGTGTGTACATGTGTGTACATGTATTTACCTGTAGGTGTGTGTGTGTGTGTGTGTGTGTGTGTGTGTGTGTGTGTATACCTACACAGAGGACCAGGTCCTGGGCGATGGCCAAGAACTAGTCCTGAGGAGGAAAGAAAAGGAGGGTCTGGAATGCAGAAAGGCAACAAGGGAACATGAGACTCTTCAATGATTATTTTTCCCAGTGGGATTTTAGCAATTATACTGTCTGCTTAAGCCACCATGCTTAAAGATCTCCAAGCGCTTGACACTGAAACTAAGATGAGCATAAACAGCTTGATTAAAAGGCAATTTTTAGATCACATAAGGGCGCTCCCTTAGATGTGAACTCTAAAACAAAGTTGAACCCATGGAGACAGGAGGGGATGGGGGAGAGTAGAGGAGGCGCCAGGGCAGGGCGGTGCTGGTCAAAGGTCACACAATTCTAGGGAAAAACAGAAGACTTAAAAAAATTGTTTAGAATTACTGAATGAGATGTGTAGTTTGTGTATTTCTTTGCCAACCTTTCCTCTCAGATTCCTACTGGCATGTCTAAAAAGAATATATTTAGTTAAAAAGGGAAGAAGCTATGCATTCCTTAACAAATACTTTGAAAAGGCATTAGAAGCTACAAACTTTTTACAATTCCTAAAAATATAGATAAATAATGATTCAGGGAATACATTTTAAAACATCCTCAACTCACAAAAACCTAGAAACAAAGTGAAAAACCAAGAGATCCTAAAACAAACAAGCAAACAAAATAAATAAAATCCCTAAATAAACCCAGCCAGTCTGGTCTGAGACACAGTTTGAGGAGCAGAGCTCAGGGTTGTTTATGCCTCAGCAACTTCATGATTCTTCATGGCTCAGCTGGAGATGTAAACAGTTGAATTTGCTGGCTAAAGACTTCATATTTCAGGGAAGGGAAAAAAATGTTAGCACAGAGCTGAAGCTCTGAGCACTTGCTTTATTATCTGGTAATGAATTTAATGTTTTTTGTCTTTCTTGATAAACAACATAATGTCTTCACAGGCTTTAGCCTTGTTTGTTCATTTTAGATTTATTCAGAATCTCTTAGTGTTTAGGAGAGTTGTTTGTTGGTATATATGGAGGACAGCTCAATATAGGTCCTTGATTCAGATAGAATTGGGTATGAAGTTGTTTTTTTATCTCAATGACTTAATATGATCTGTTTCCTTATTAATAAAATCAGACTTATCAGAATATTCGTTGACCACTGTTCCCAGTGCTTTGCATGTACCGAGTCAGTAAATTCTCTCATTGACTCTACAGTCAGAACTATTACATATACTCTAAATTTTTAGAAGAGCAAACCCAGACATTGAGACATTTTTCCAGTTCACCCAGTTGCACACTCGTACTTAAAGCCTGAGCTCTTACCTACTGTGTTTCGCGACCACCTGGTTGCATGAGTGAAGAGGGTGCTGCTTGCCACTGTGGCTGGTACACAGGAGAAGTTTACATGTAGCTGGCATATGAGAGGTAGCCATGACATTATCTACAAAATAATTGCAGCTTTTCTGGCTAAGTGTTCATATTTAGTTGTTGTTCTCAGTTTAAGTCAATCATGCATCCAATTCCTAGATAGCCATCATCAAATTGAAGATCATATTTAAAAAAAAATTCCATCCAACACCTCGGACATCAGATTATTACAACTTGTATTTCCCAGCCAAATGGAACGGTGCCAAAATAGTACAGGTTGAGCATTCCCAATCTGGAAATCTGAAATCTAAAATGCTCCAAGATCAGAAATTATTTTAGCAAGAACATGAAGTTTCAAGTGGCAGATTTCACTCCTGATCTCATGTGGCAAGGCACAATGAACACAGATGTGCTAAAAATACTGTGATATATTTACATTTATATATTTATATTTATTATGTTAATTTATATAAATATAGATTATGATCTGTTTTCTTATTAATAAAATCAGACTTACAAGAATATTATATATAAACATACATACACATGTGCATACATCTTCAGGTTATATGTGTATATCATGTATGAAAATATAAATGTATTGCCTAGTTTTGGGTTCCATTTCTAAGATATTTCATTATACATATGCAAAAATCCCCAAATCTGGGGCTGGGAAGGTGGCTCAGTGGTAGAGCGCTTGCCTTGCTTGCATGAGGCCCTGGGTTCTATTCCTCAGCACCACATAAGCAAAAAGAAAAAAGCCGGAAGTGCCGCTGTGGCTCAAGTGGTAGAGCACTAGCCTTGAGCTGAAAGCTGAGGGACAGTGCCCAGGCCCAGAGTTCAGGCCCCATGACTGGACCCCTCCCCCCAAAAAAATCCCCAAATCTAAGAAAAAACCATGAAATCCAAAACAATTCTGGTCTCAGGGATGTTTGGATAAAGGTTATCCAAACTATACTTTTAATGTTTATTCAATATTTCATTTAATCCTGCCTCCTGTCTCCTTTCTCTCTGTACACGGTGCCAGAAACGAAGGTGGCAGAGAAGTCCTGTTACCACAGGAATGAAGATGGCTCACAGTACGGATACTGTCACATAGTGAATGGCACACCCGTCCCCTGTGAGGCAAAGTGAGTGTTGCTGTTGTTCGAGCCTGCCTGCCCTGGCAATGGCTCACTGCCAGCCCCACAGTCTGGCTTAGTCCTGTTCAGGGAAAGTGATTTCAGTGCCATTCATTTCACATAATTTACCAAGTGACTTCCTCAAGTCCTTCATGGTGGGCACTGTGGATGTGAGTACAAAGTATAATTAAGAGAGATGAATGTTATAGATGGAGTATACAACACTGCTTGAGTCTGATTGGAAATTTTCTCACGAATTTCCCAGCATTCTGTATATGCTTTCCACATTTATCCCAAGGAATGCTGGATACAGGGCAAGTGCAATTTCACTTACATTTGCTATGCACTTGTATAAGGACACAATATAGTTTTTTAAAAAAAGATTGCCAATCCACCTGAACAGATTTGAGTTTTTAATATTGATATCATAGAAAGAATTCAGTTCACAGTAGATGAATTTGAGATTTTTCTATGTAATTTTTTTCCTCTAATTTTTTGCTGTTATTTGTGGGGCTTGAACTCAGAGCCTGGGTGCTGTCCCTGAGCTCTTTTTGCTCAGCACTAGTACTTTACCACTTTGAGCCATGGCTCCACTTCCTCTTTCTTCCAATTTTAAGATGATCTTTAAAATCCAACTTATTGTAGGTTAAATTATTTCTGCCACATTCATATTTTGTAAATACAATGTAACTTAATAACAGGAGGCCAAGCAAAATCAAAATTCCCCCCAAGTTTTTCTATTGAACATTGATGTTGTCAGAGGACAGATATTACCAAAAGTGAGTATGGTCTGGGTATAGAGAGAATGTGGAGTGTGGAGAATGTGGGCATAAAGGACAAGTCTTCACCACAGTATACTGAATTGTGTAAAATATCTGACTTTTACATGAAACAATTGGATCTAATTTGATTGGCTTTGTCTTAACTAATACTCTTTTTTTGGTAGTAAATAAATGGCTTTATTGGATGTTCAGAAGATAAAGTTTTATCTGCAGACTCAGAAAGGAAGTTCTTTTAGTGATTCCATTCAGGGCCTAAGAGGGGTGCTCAGCTATGCTAAGACCAAAGTAGAGTTGAGGTGAGGCTTTTCTCTGTTAGAAATATTCTTCTGAAGTCATAATCTCAAACATGTAACTGTGTTCTCAGGGGCCCTTGTGATGTCTGGAATCCTGCTTCCATGTACTTTGTGCTCCATTATACCTTTGACCACATTCTCAAGTGTTTCTTTTGGTCTGCATGGTTTCTATTATAGCTATTGCACTAAAAAGGATAAAACACAAAAGAAGAGGACACATCCTTATATCTAAGACCTCTTTCTAAAATCTAGACTTAAGACATAGCCCTGTTCCCATTGTCTAGAACTCTGGCAACTAGCAAAAACTAGCTATGGTAGTATGAGAAATTCATTTACCTGAGCAACAGTGAGTTTTGCTAACATTCAGGGTTCCTGTTACAGAGGAATACAGGGAAATGGATAGAAAGTTCAAGTGGAAAACTCTGCTAAAGAACGATTTTATTAAACATCTTCACTTGCCTACAACTGAATGTTCAATCCATTTTGATTTTTTTTTTCTTTAGAGATGTCATGTGTGGGAAGTTGTTTTGTGAAGGTGGGTCAGGTAATTTACCCTGGAAAGGATTTACAGTGACTTTCAAAGGTTGTAAACTGTTTGATCCTGAAGATCCAAGTCAAGGATTAGACATGGTGGCCAATGGGACCAAGTGTGGAAATAACAAGGTAAGGTGAAATCATGGCTTTTACTCAAAATGTTTGTCACATACTTTGTTGTCTTGTTTTCTAGTTATTCAGTAACTATCCTTATTTCCTAACTATTGGGTTTAAAGCTAGGGCTTTGAACCCACATCACTGAACAATTAATAAAATAAAAGGCCAATGGTAGAAAACCTCATGAAGAACAAGAACAATGATTGTTGTTAATATTCTCAAAATTTATGAATATTGCAAATAATGACTTTTACAGGCATTATTTCAAGAACAATATAAATAACAATGCAATGCTGATAAGCATACATATAACCACCATGGAACATACATATAACCAACAGGCATGTTACTTTCCTATGCTGTCTTGAAACAAATTGAAAGCACTAGGTGTGAGACACGGAGCATAAGTGAACAAATTTACACACCCATGAAAATATAAACTCACACTCAAGCACATCAGCTGCTTGGCCAACACACAAACTTTGATAATGACAAGATTTCACTCACTATCAGAGGTTAGAATTATTCTATTACATTCTGATATTTACATGGCCTAAGACTTAGCCTGATTTTCTACCACCATAAAGCTGATTCTGGACATATTATTGAATTTGCTTAACTTCCTTGGGTCATTTAAACTAGAGTTAATTTGCAGATGTATCTAGAGTTACCATGTAGTTCAAACTAGGTATGTCTCATAAAAAGATGTAGAGAGTAAAATATAAAACAGTGGATGAGACTGACAGAACCTTTGAAACATGGAAACAAAAATTCAAATTTAGAAAAGTTTCAGGTGCTGCTGGTTTGAATTTAAAAGGTTGTTGACTTACGGCAAGAGGTTCGTATAGCATTTACCTTCCTTCTCTGCTTCCTGAAATGTGGACCATTGCCAGGGGCAAGAAATGGTGCCCAAAGTAGGAAGAGTCCTAGGGCAACCTAAGTGCATTTGTGCCTTTAATGGTAAAATTTTCATACTTGCTCTTAGCAGTAGATTATGTTATTCGAATAAGATCTCAGAAGGCAGGAAACCACAGCAGACGTACTGTGGGGAAAGTGGGCTATGGGAAAGACACCAAACTCCAGGCCCTCAATCCATAATACTTCCCCCACTTCCATTTCACCATGGCTGCATTCATTCATGCGTTGATTCATTCTTCCCATGGTATTCACCATGTGCCTAGGATCAGGTGGCCACACAGTATTGATTTAGTGTTCTAAAACCGTACACACAATCAAGTTCTGTCTTGAAAAAGCCAACGATGACTTTTCCGACTTAAAACGTGGACTTACTAGTGATGTTGATAGCGGCTAGCGTGGGGCATGGGCAGCATCTGCAGTGTATGGTGCTCCCTTCCAGGTGTGCGTGAGTGCCCGCTGCGTGGACGTGGAGAGGGCCTACAACTCTGCCAACTGCTCCTCTAAGTGCCAGGGCCATGCGGTGAGTGGCAGGGTGGTGAGCGGGCGGTGAGCAGCGGGGCGGCCGTGGGCAGTGAGCAGCAGGGCGGGCAGTGAGCGGTGAGCCGTGGGGTAGACACAGGCGGAGAGAGGTAGGTGGTGAGTGGTGAGCGGCGGCACGGCCGCAGGCAGTGAGCAGCGGGGCGGTGAGCAGCCGGGCGGTGAGCTGCAGGGCGGTGAGCAGCGGGGCGGTGAGCTGCGGGGCGGTGAGCTGCGGGGCGGTGAGCAGCCGGGCGGTGAGCTGCGGGGCGGTGAGCTGCGGGGCGGTGAGCTGCGGGGCGGTGAGCTGCGGGGGTGCTGAGCTGCGGGGCAGCTGGAGGTCTGGCTCTGGATGCTCCCCACTTCCCTCCTTGAAGGGTTATGTGTATACGACCCCCAGTCCCTCGAATAAGAGGCAGCACTGGGAGCAGCCACGGCTGCAACCTTGGCAATTCACTTAAGGCTCCCGGGGTTGGCGGGAGCCTCCCCTCCACTCTCCTCCCCCTCCCATCCCCCTTCCTGCCTCAAGGCCTGGGGTCGGTCTCCAGGGTCTCACCCGCCCTTCCCCCGTAGGTGTGCGACCACAAGCTGCAGTGTCAGTGCAAGGGAGGATGGGCCCCTCCTGACTGCCGGGACTCCGCCGCCATCTTCCGTAGGTAGCCGGGAGAAAGGGAGGTCTCATTTCCCAAGTGGGGTTTCCTCTTTGTGATCCCTGTAAGATTACTTTTCAGTAGCTATTGATTATATATATACACACACACACACACATATATATATATATATATACATATATAATGTATATATTATATATTTAGACATGTATATCATATACATACATTCACATACATATATGTATTTATACTATATATTATATATTGTATACATTGTATATATAGTATACATATCATATATTATATATTAAATGAATAACATCTAATATATGTCATATAATTATATATGATTATATATTATATATACAATTATGTATCATATACTATGCACTATATTATACATTATATATAATTGCATATATGTGATATGTTGTATGATTGTGTATATTAGATATAAGTGAATATAGGAATTAGATATTGAATACTATAATGCATATAATAAATATGCAATAGGATGGGGACACTCAGCTCCAATGTCCACGGTGACGAGGACTTTAAGGAGGGAGCTGCTTTTTCTCTATGCTCGTTCCTGTCTCCTCTAAGGCTGCTCCAGTTTGGGTGTCTGGATTCTGTGTCTGTGTTGCTTTTCAGGCTCCTCTATCATATGCCCTTGCCTCTGTAGAGCAATTCTTGGGCTTCATTCCAGGGACATAGGACAGTTTCATTCCATGTCCATGGAGATGGGGGGGGGGGGGGGGCAGGGCTGGGACTGAATGAACCATTTATTCTGAGTTCAGATGCTTCAGACTTTCCTCTGGCATTTCCCTCTGATGTTCAGCCTGTCATCTATTTATTTATTTATTTACTTACTTACTTAGGGTCTGGTTGTGGGGTCTGTACACTGAGCCTGGGCACCATCCCTCAGCTCTTCAGCTCAAGGCTAACGCTCTACCACTTGAGCCACAGCGCCACTTCTAGCTTTTTTCATTTTGCTTATGTGATGCTGAGGAATCAAACCAGGGCCTCATGCATGCAAAGCAAGCGCTCTACCACTGAGCCACCTTCTCAGCCCCTAGCCTGTCATTTATTGATTTCGTTGTTTTTTGTTTTTGTTTTTGTCTACTCATATCCCTTAACTTTCTATTCTTCTGGAACTTCTAAAAATATATCTGGTTTTGTCGTGTTCTATAATGTAATTGCACATATATGCACCATTTTGGATTTATCATGCATTTGTGAAGGTTAGGGAAATGTCTATATGTGTGTGTAATCACAATTGTGAACTCTTCTTGCATTTCTATCACAATTTATCTTGCAACTAGATTGCTAACCTCTGCAAGGAGAGCAGTAACTTTGGCATTGATCTCCAAGCCAGTACTGCCTGGTCTCCTGTATAAGAGAAGTGAATACTTGAGAAAGCAAAAGATTGAATCTGTGTTCATTATAATTGAAGCAGCAGGTAAAAGTGAATACTGAGGAATAGTCGTTCAAACCATTCCCAGATTCAAGCTTGCATAACTTCTTTTCTGGCCAGAATCATTCTAATATTGAGCAAATGGACCACTTAGCTGTGTCCCTATCACTTTCTTGCAGCTCCTTATTTGTTCTGAGAGGAATCTTTCTAATCTTTTTCTTTTGCTTGCTTCATTAAAAATTTTATTAAAAGATCTCATTTCTGCTCTGCCTATTTCTTTACTCCTGATATATTATTTTCTAATCTCTCATCCCTTCATCTTCCCATTATTTACAAACATTACTTCAAAGAATTCTCAGTAGAATGATGTTTTCTCGGGAGAATGATGGTGTTGACCTGACAGGTCATGTTTTGTTTATTTTCACATAGTAAGTGTTTGCTAGGGATTTACTCTTGATTTCCTCTTCATAAGCTTTAACACAATAACTGTGACCATACCTTTTCATGTACCTGGCTATTAGAGATGTTCTAGAAGAGACTTCTTTTTGGAAAAGATAGATGGAAGTTGTGGCAAGTAGGAAAACAAAGTCTCAAGGGATGGATTGGTGGGAATTCTTCATGACCTCAATAGGCTCCCCATTTCACTGCTACAGATTTCTCCATTGTTGTGGGGGTTCTATTCCCCATGGCGGTCATATTGGTGGTGGTCACAATATTAATCTGGCACCAAAGTACCCGAAGAAAGCAGAAGGTGCAGAGGTAAGCCTTGCTTTTTCTGTGGGGCTCTGAGACCCTTACTGACATTTATGTTACGGTGTGACCTAACCTTATAAATTTAGTTTAAGTTAACTTCAAATGCTCTTATGCATATATACATATGTACACTTTCTTCTTGGACTAGATATTCAGCATCCCTTCTATTGGGAAGTTAGTAAAATTTTACAACTAACAATGTGTCATTTTCTTCTGGTAGTCAATCTATCTGTAATTAATAGTAAGATTGACATTAATTCTAATTATCAATGATTTTCACGCCTGTGATAAGAACACAGTATCCAGCATTAATTATGCTAATGATATAAGCATTGTGCTTAAGACCTCTGATATCCACTGTTAACTTAATTGTCACAGTAACATCATCAGGTAGTTTCTTATTACTTTCAGCTTAAAGATGAAAAAGTGAATTCTACTCATCCTTACAATCCTGTAAGGTTAGGGGCTTCACTTTGGACTTGCATAAGAAAGTCTAGAGAGTTGAGCAAACATGCTTGCAGTCTTCCCAAGTAAGTGATGGAGCCCTGGCCCGAGTCAACACATATTTACCTTTCAGTCATGGTGTTGACCTGGCAGAAGATCATGTTTTGTTTATTTGTCAGTGCTGGTGGCATTTGCGCAAGATTTGAAACATATCTTAACCCAGCCTTTTTTTCCCCTTAGTTATTTGTCAATGTTTGTCCAGGGCAGTCTGGACCATAATCCTTCTATTTACATCCCTCGTGTAGTTTGGATAACAGGCATTTGTCACCACACCTAGCTTTATTGACATAGGCAGGGAGGTGGGAGGCCTCTCATTGGTATTTTTTATCAAGGCTAGCCTCAAATCTTCCTCTTCCTGATTTTTGTCTCCCAAATAGCTAGGATTACAGATGTAAACTACCATGTCCACCTTCGTTTGCAAATCATTTTTAAAGACTAATTTATACATTGATAATGAGTAGTTAATAAATATTAAATGAACACCAAGTTAACATAATGCAGTGATTTATGTTAAAATTGGTTGCAACATTGCTTTAAAATAGAATCAGTTAGGGCAGCAATGAGTATGAATTGCAGGATAATGATGGTACCTTCCAAGAACTAAAAGCTAGAGATACTTTGAGGAGCTGATTTTAAAAAGTCAGTCAATAATCAAGACTGGCACTATGGGCTAAGAAAGTTGGCCATCACTGCTGAGATTTCCCAGAATGCTGAGGGAATTTCTCCATTTCTATGACATGTTTTTACTTACAGGCCACTGTCTACCACAAATACCAGGCCACACAAGCAGAAGGCTAAACCTCAGATGCTGAAGGCTGTTCAACCCCAAGAGGTGAATTCCAGTGGACTCTTAGCCATGACCGCAGCTTGTGATTTCTTACTCTTGTCTCCTGTTTACATTCTTCCTAATAGCGCCACCCAAACCTTACGGCACTGTTTAGTATATAGCAACAATGATGAGCCCTGTAACAACAAACTCAGAGCATTCTCCTTTGCTTTTTGTTGATCACAAAAAGAATTCCTCTTCTGGGGAGAGAGGGGTGACGGTAGAGGGGAGCAAACAAGGAAAGGGAGGGAGGAAGGGGGAACAGATGCAATCGTGCTATTCAGTAGAAACGATGTGGAAAATGACCTATGTAAATTGTGGACAGGGAGAGGAGGGGAAACTGGGGGGAAGTAAAGGAAGGGATAGCAGTGTGAAAAGCAGAAATACTCATGAAATGGTAGCCCCCCTGTACAACATGAAGAGTAACTATACAATGATTTTTTTTAAATAAAAGAATTCCTAAAAACCCAGGGACTATTTTGCTGCTGGGGCTCATGAAATAAATCAAGGGACAATGAGAGCAATGAGGGAAGAAGCCAGAAGTCTGTTTCTGTCTGTCTGTCTATCTGTCTGTCTGTCTCTTTCTCTTCTCTATGCCAAATGCATTCCTTGTTTGTATAATGATATGTACAACCCTTAATGTGAGGCTTGTGAGTGACATACCATTGGTAAAAATGTTTCTGGTGGGAATTTTGCCATGTAGCCCTTGGGGAGTTCTGTAGTGCATGGTCAGGACCACTGTGACTTCCTGCCTGTTCTCCTGAGGTCAGGGTAGTTACAAGTTCCCACACCTAAGAAGATGTGCTTAGGTGGGGAAGATGTGGAAGATGTGCTTAGGAAACCAATGAGGCAACTTAACCAGATGATTTCTTCCCCTTAGATGAAGCAGGAGAAGAAGCTTCCTGTGTCTGATCTGCCTGTGGAATGCAGTGAGGCTCCGGCTTCCATTGTAAGTTAGAAACTTCTCTTTGGTATTGCTCGGTTCAACCCTCAGGAATTAGTGATCAAAGACACAGTGACCACACCCAGTGATTTATTCAGTAGAAGGTTGACATTTGTGTGCATCCTAATATAAAATATACATGTTTACAAATGCTTTTGAAAGTGAGAAATGTGAGAAATTCTATGCCTCTCTGTATATATTCCTCAATTTAACTCCTAAACTTAGATCCCAGGGCTGGGCAGTTGATAAATCATTACAGTTAACAATCTGCTTTATAAAATACCCTTCTTAGCCAGCATAGCAGACACTGTACCATAATAGCATAAAATGGATGGATTTAACCACAAATAGTATTTATTTCTCCCCATTCTGGAAATTGGAGAACCCAAGTTCAAGTTGTTGATAGAACCAGTGTCTGGTGAGAACCTGCCCCTGGATTTTAGATATCTGACTTCTCCATTTTCCCTAAGAGAAAGAGGAAGAGAGGCAGAGGGATTAGGAAAGGCAGAGGGAAGGAGTGGGAAACACAAAAAGAGAGAGAGGGAGGGAGGGAGAAAGACAGGGAGAGAGCTTCAACTCAAGCTCTATGCACTGCCAAAACTCCCCAGTTCCAGTCATCATTTCAGGGGACTAGGGATTCAATAGATAAATATGTGGGGAGAATTAAACATTCACTCCATAATAACCACAGTCAAATTGATTGCCCTTGGACTTGCATCCAAAGTGTGTGCATGCACCTACATAAAAGTAATCAAACTCACAGGTGTAGAATATTCCAGTGGGTAGGCTTTTATAGTCACCATGCTTGAAAACAATTTAAAATCCTTTTATTCAGCACACGCACTTTTCAGGACCTTATCTTTAAACTGAGTTTTCTTTATTTTCTTATTAGTTAAGCACAAAGCCAAATTTTCCACCACCACCAATTCCTACATCTGTATCATCTTCCTATTTCCTGGTAAGTACCCATTGGTCAGCTTGTATGTTCTCCATGTTTCTGAGTCCACTGAGAATGTTATCACCAAAGTCAGAGCACAGATGTGCTCTGGAGACGAGCCTGGCCTATCCTAGCAAAGCTTACTTGCTACATCTGAGTTCAGAGGCTATTGAACTTTTATAATGCGAAAGCAGTTCTTTTATTTTATAATTGTTGAGAAATGATAAATACTTCTGTTGTATAAGGTACACGTCTCATTTACGCAATCATTTCTAGATGCTTATCCTAGAAGATATAAAATCTTATCATAATGGCATTTACTACAACCTATTTTAGGTCACACAAGGCTAATTGTTACAGGTTTTTGTAGGAGATAAGAGTATGAAAAATAGATCATAGGCAAGCAAACCTGGAATTCAGGTGCTCAAGAAATGAGGAGTAGAATTCATATACTTATCAAATGATTTCTGAGATTATGTCCCAGGATTGGTATTCTATTTTTAATTAACAAACCAAAAAATCCTAAATTTAAGACATTTTACTGGCAGAAGACAAATCATATACACATGAAACTTTTAATTCCCAAGTAGAATTTGTGCCAAACAAATAATACTAATGACAGAACATAGTGGGGAGAATGTGAGTAGTTGTAGAATTATTCAAGGAGAAGATCCGTCGAGTAGTTGAATGTGAATGGCTCCTTGGCATTGAGTACAATTTAAATGAGTGAAGAGAAGATAAAAAATAATTTTGTAAAGGAAATGAGTTCTGCTCAGGAGGGTGGAGCATACCATTTCAGATGCTAATTTACTTAGAAGATGCAAAAGCATCTCTCTCACTACTGTTTTCAAAGGTAAGGCTGACTTATTCTCAAGACATTATAGTCTTGTAGCACACCTGGCATCAATAAAGAAATGTTCCCACCATGAGTAAGTCCATTGGGAACAGTCGATTGGGTGTGTATGGGAGGTGTTTGTGTACTGACAGAAATATTGTGTTTCTGAGGGACCAGTAACAAAGAAGGAAGAGAGATGAAGGTCTCATTAGAAAGTAATGAAGAACTGAACCCAGCAATAGTGGTTCACGCCTGTAATCCTAGCTTCTCTAGATCTGAGGATTGTGGTTCAAAGCCAGCCTGGGCAGGAAAGTCTGTGAGACTTTTATCTCCAATAAACCACCAGAAAACTGGAAGTGATGCTGTGGCTCTAGTGGCAGAGTGCTCGCCTTGAGCTGAAGAGCTGAGGGACAGCGCCCAGGCCCAGAGTTCAAACCCCATGACTGACAACTACAAAGAAGAAGAAGAAGGAGGAGGAGGAGGAGGAGGCGGAGGAGGAGGAGGAGAAGAGGAAGAAGAGGAGGAGGAGCAGGAGGAGGAGCAGGAGGAGGAGGAGGAGGAAGAGGAGGAGGAGGAGGAGGAGGAGGAAGGAAGTAATGAGGAACTGAAAATTCTTCTTTTTCTCAGAAATGCTCCCTGAGAATAGCGGAGTGATGCAATCAATCCCTTATGCAGTCTCAACCAGACCCACAGGTCTCCTCCTGGTCCCCCATCCTCCCCATGTTAGGGTATTTGCCCAGAAAAATACAGGATCCCAGTATGGTGTTTTCCTTACCTTCCATAGCGATCCTCTCATGTCTCTACTTCTTCCCAGCTGATGGTGAAAAAAGCCTGTTAAATGGGATGTGTCATTTCAGAGAATGAGTTTCAATTCCTTAAAACTTCCAACTTGGTTACTGTATTTTTACCTTTTACTTCCTTCCTTCCTTCCTTCCTCCTTTCTTTCTTTCCTTCCTTCCTTCCTGTCTTCCTCCCTTCTTTCCTTCTTCCTTTCTCTCTCCCTTCCTTCTTTTCTTCCTCCCTCCTTCTTCCTTCCCTTCCTATCTATATCTATATTTATATTTATAATTAATTTATATTTATCTATATCTATTTTTGGGAAAAGTTAATCATTTAAGAATATGGTCTTTTTTTTTAAGGGATCGAGTCCAAAGGTCTGATACAACAGTGAAGTTATGACTGGTAAGCAAGTGATGAAGTGGGAAGACGGGACAATTTAGGTGAAGCGATACACTTGCTTTGTCACTGCTATTTGTTCATAACTCTCAAAAAATGTTAACATTCTTGATTTGTGCTCTACTTTGAAGAGGTTCAGTAAAATTTTTCAAGCGAGACATCATCTTGAGAAATCTTGTTTTCGTTAAATTTTTCCTCCATAATCCTGGAAAAGACCATTTTTCTGCAAAATTATCCATGAACCTTAAACTTATAATTAGTAGATGTCTTCCTAGAATCACTCCTCTTTCTTACTATGTTGTTGACTAATTGCTCAAATAGCTTGAACACCTTGATCTGCTGCTTTGAAAGGAATTTTTGTATTCTCTAATTAAAACAAGAGCAGGAGTGGTGGGAAAATACATTTCATTAGCTATTTCATTTGTCTATTTGTCTAATTGTATAAAACCTTTTATTTTTATATTAGCATTCATTAATTGTACAAAGTTTAAATTTTAGTATTTCCAAATACACATGTAATATACATCAATAAAATTCACACCTTAGAGAGTAAAATATTTGTAAATTTTTATCATAGCTATTTGCATAATTCAGTTACTGCATGGATAAAGTGAACTGTACTTTCTGTATAGAGAAAGTTTTCATGAAATGAAATAATAACATAAATCAAGAGTTTGCAAACTGGCGACTTACAGGCACTTCTTGGACTACAGCTGTAATTTGTTGCACATAAATACGTTGCCCACATAGTATTTTAAAAATGTTCTGAATTTATTGCTAATACTTTTTAAAGTTCAAGATCTTGCACAAACATCCAAATTCCCAGGTCTTGAATAGCAATCAGATGGGTTTCAACACCAAAATCACATAATCCATGACAACCACAGTTTACTTGACAGATGGGTCAACATTGTCCATTAAGAGCCAATACCTCCCTTCTATTTTGCTTTCAGATCCTCAACTTTGTCCAGCTGTCCATTTTTTAGCACAGATGATCCTGACTTATCTCATGGATAAATCTTTATCACCTTAACTAAATCATAATAATCTTATTTTCTTTGTCAGTGATTATTTTGGACATGAATGTATAACTCCCCATTTTTCTCCATGGGATGAGAAAGAAAGTATGTTGGAAATTATTAGAAGATGTTCCTCCATTTTTCTTCTGGCTGTTAGTGTGCAGTAGTACTGATAAACTGAACAAGATGGAGCAGGAAAGTTGAACCAATTGTTATTAATGATTTCATCAAACTGGTATAGTAATAGTTCAGAAGCCACCTCATACTTCATTGGGACTTCTTGTATCACCAATAAACATTTCCTATTGTTCAAGCTGTCTTGAGTTGGGTTTTCTCTGTCTTTGACTTGAAGTCAACTAACTAGTGGAAGTGGTCCTACTCAGTAGCCTTCCCACCACCAGGATGCATGCATTCTCTTTCATCACAGCTGCTTTTTTCTTATTCTTGGCCTGTTTCATCCATTTCTACCACTTACCTGCCCCCTACAGGCTTTTGTTTCATGAAGATCTTTATCTACGAAGTTTATCCATTTATGCTGACAGTATGGAGAGCTAGAGAAGCCTTTGATTCCAAGCAGGAGTTTACATACACCAGGAAAACAAAATAGAACAAAGGTATAGACAGGTGCTGGTGGCTCACATCTGTAATTCTAACTGCTCAGGAAGCTGAAATAAGCCAGCCTGGGCAGAAAAATCTGTGAGAGTCCATCTTCAAATTGATCAATGATAAAAAGCAGGACTGGAGGCCTGGCTCAGGTGGTAGAATGCCAGCAAAGACAGCAAGCCAAATAAGATGCTTGAGCATCTTTACACTGATTCATCCAACGAAATTCACAACTTTACAGTTTTTACAGAAGTTTCCATAATTTGGATGTCAAACGTCCCTCAGAGATCTACGAAATTCACAACTTTACAGTTTTTACAGAAGGTTCCATAATTTGGATGTCAAATGTCCCTCAGAGATCTACACAATGAAGACTTGGTCCCCGGCATGTGCCATTGGAAAGTGGTGGAAACAAGAAATGGGGCTTGATGGGAGGGCTTCAGATCATTGGGGTGTGTTCTCAAAGGGCATTGTGGGATCCTGAGCCCTTTCTGTATTCTCCTTTGCCTCCACGCCATAAGGTGAGTGGCTTTGCTCCACTCAGTTCTCTCCTCTGTGATGTGCGACCTCACCGCAGGGCCCACAGCAATGGGGTTTAGCATAGACTAAAACCTCAAAACGGTCATCTAAACCTTCCTCTTTATAGGCTGATTACCTGTGATATTTTGTCATCATGATTGCCTCTTACTAACCCACAGTTTTCTGAGAAACACATAAAAGCTGTATATAAATGCATCGTGAAAAAGAGAAATGTGGGACACACTTAGTGGATAATATTCATTCATCAACAACGAATGGAGGCTGCATGTTGTGGAGTTTTTCAGTGACAAAGACCTTTTCTGTACAGGCTTTTGCAGAACAGATCTTTGATGGAAAAGTAGATTTGGAGTAAGACATATTTCATTGGTAAGCTTCTATTTGCTTGGTCTTTTATTCTCCCCTGTTGAATTTTTTTTTCAATTTTTCTCCATATCTTTAGTTTATTCCTTTGTTTCACATTAAATCTCTCAGTTGGAACTTTTGAGTCAAAACAAAACACTTGATTTGAGATCTCAATGTAAAAATAGTTCTGAATTCCCGAAATTTTCAGAAAAAAATCCTAGTCAATTTAAACATGATGAATCTTCAAAATTTTCATTAACAGGGCTGGGAAGGTGGCTCAATGGTAGAGTGCTTGCCTTGCATGCATGAGGCCCTGGGTTTGATTCCTTAGCATCACATAAGCAGAAAAGCTGGAAGTGGTGCTGTGGCTCAAGTGGTAGAGTGCTAGCCTTGAGCTGAAGCACTGAAGGACAGCACCCAGGCCCAGAGTTCAGGCCCCACGACCAACAGAATAAAAATGTGTTAACAAGGCAAGAACAAAAGAATATAGGATTACATTATGATTCATGTTCATGTTTATGATCTTATTTAATGTTTATAACAATCCTATGGAACACACCATTGTCATCACTATACAGATGACAGAATTGACAGAAAATGGGTGGTTTTTAATCTATTTTATATGGCTACCAACTATTGAAATGAGGACCCAAATTCAACTATCTTGAATCCAAGTGCTTTTTTTTAGCATTGTTGTTCCTATTTGTGTGTGCGTGTGTGTGTGTGTGTGTGTGTGTGTGCACCCATGCAATGTGTGCACATACTAAGGATTGAATCTGTCAGGCAAGCACTCCACCACGGAGCCATATTCTCCATTCCCTTCACCCATAATACCTTGCTGCTGTGGCAAAGCTATGCTTACAGAAAGGTACCCAGAATGCCACAGCTTTTCCATCCCCAGCAAGTTATCTATTGGAATGTATGAGGTTGCAGTGAAACCGCATGCCAATTAGACCTTCATATCTTGAAAACTCCTTATTATTTCCTCTTTGTTTTGCTACTTATGTGTATCACAGAGCCTCGAGGTTGATGCTTAATAAATTAAGGAAACCTCTCTCAGTAAGATTCTTAGTTTAATACATTGCACAACCAATGCTAATGGGGTTGTGTGTTCCTTAATTCTTCAATACAAACATTTACAAAGTTTCCATGTACAAGTGGATACCAGGAATAGAGTGATTAGCCTCTTTCCCTACTGTGCACCCTCATGCTCAAGGCTGACGGAAATAAATACAGAGTTAAAGTAACTGCTGAAATGGAGATAAATTGTTCAAACATAACTACTGGGAAGCAATGTTTATTAGGAGAAGGCATGAGAAGTTTGACCAAGGGGTGTCATCTGAATCTTGAGTCATAAGCAGTTTATTAGACCTGAAAAGGATAAAGAAAGGGAATTCTAAAGAGACATTGGGGCTATATAACAGTTGTAATTCCAGAAAAGGTCTCACATTATCAGTTTACAGTAGACAGTGAACTATTTAAAAAAACATTTGAATACCTTTTGGTATAATATTCTTCATTAAATACATATATACATTTATATATACATAAATGTAGGAAGCATAGGAAAATACAGCACAAGAGAAATTGGAGATTATATAATGATAAAAGAGGTTTAGAGGTATTATGAATTCACACATTAGATGAGACACCATGAACTATAGAACATACTTGTTTACGTGTTTAAGTGTGAGTACTAAGTTTCACTCCAAACTACTCATAAACAAAAACAAGACAGACAAAATAAGTGAATAGGACTGACATAGATTTACAATATCTATAAAGTTGCAAGAAACGTGTTATGACCGAGGATAGTAAAACCACAAAAACTAAGCAAAACCAAACCCAGCCAGCCACAATATTTAAGTCAACAGGTAAGGGAGTATAGCTCTTCCCACTCCTGGAGACCTGGAAGTTTTTAGGATGGAGTTGATATTAGATCAAACTAGAGAACCTGTCTGGATTTTTTTGCCTGGACTCCCACTTTAATAGCGCCCAGATAGTTTATCTATGTAGACAATTGGCTATCTGCAGCAATCCACACTTTGGTCACAGGCACTCAGAAAGGAGTAGAGCATAGCTCAGAGTTGAACATCATTCCAACCTTTTAACTGGTAACTTTGAGCTCTGCTAAGGATATGAAGTAAAAATAATACATTTTGATTGTCTCACTATATAGCTAGCGACTAACCACACGGTATTAAGAATATATGGCTTTTGAGACTGAAGCACTGAACTTCAATATTTTATTTAATTTTAATTACTTTAATCTTAATAACTGCCTGTGGCTACTTTTTGGTTGGCATAGTTCTAGATAATGTCAATAAAATGAAGGGCTTGGGGAAGAGCAAATAATATGAAAGCATGGTGAATTCTTATTTTCTCTGAGGGAGAAATAAACAGATACTACTTTTTAAGAAACATGAAAGGATTTGAAAAGATAAAGAAAAATTATATCAATAGTAACAGTAAATAAGCAAACTAAACATAAAAAAATTTAAAAAGCAAAGATTAGCAAACTAGGTGGAAACCACTTGCGAGGATGCAAGTGGTAAAATAACAGTGGAAATATTACGAGTGGAAATATTAGTTGAGGCACATACTGTATAGCAAAATAAGTAGTATTAGAGATGGAAGGGTTAAGAATTCTACAAAGTTATTGGGCAAATTGAAAAGTCAGGCAAGGCAAAAATGTAAGCAAAATTAAAAAAAATCAAACAACCTTTTGAAAATATGAAAAAAGGATAAAAATGACTTGACACGCAAAAATATAGACAAAAGTAACAGAATCATAAATCAAGTACTGGGAAAGAAGAATAAAATAGATCAGCCTTTACCAAATGCATCAACTACAGCTACAAAGAAAGAGCAGAAATTACCAGCCACGAGGATTGAAGGGATGACTTTCCAAAGGACCTTAGCAAAAAACAAACTAGTACTAACAAAATATCATTCTACAATGTACATTTAAACCACCATGGCCATTATTTATGATGGAATGTTTGAAATCCTTCAGTTCTGATGAGCAAGTATCTCTCTCATAATGACTTAGGAGACACATTTTGCAAATCTTCTGGGTAATTTAAAGTAAGTCACTTAACTTGGAATCATTTACTAAAGTAGAAGTGTAACCTTTGAATGACTATCACTAGTGTTACATTAAACAAAGAATAGTGATGTATGTGAAAAAGAATCTTTAAATGTACAAGGCATTGCTGTAATATTTCTATTCTGATTTAATTTCTACCTAGCCATCATCTTCTCTACACAACCAAAAGTACTTTTTAAGGAAATATTCTAAAATTTTATTTTGTATGCTTTACGGGAACAAATTATCTGTAACCCAGATGTTGCTCATAACTTCTTGGTTTTCTAGTCCCAGTTAAGTGGTCTGTTTAGACAATCCTTGAGTCCTGTAGTCAATAAGGCTTGGTGTATATGCCATTCCTCATTCCCACCAGATGTAGTGAGTAAACAATTTCTTCACTGGTACTACCACAGTTTAAAGACTGAATATACAACTATCTTAACAGCATAAATCTTCCAGAGAGAGAGAGAGAGACAGAGACAGAGACAGAGAGACAGAGAGAATTGCCTTCAGTTTCTTCATAGTATATATATGTTTATTCAATATTTTATTTTTTTGTTGGTTGTGGGGCTTGAACTCTAGGCTTGGGCTCTGTACCTGAACTCTTCAGCTCAAGGCGAGCACTCTACCACTTAAGCCACAGCACCACTTCTGGTTTTCTAGTGGTTTATTGCAGATAAGAGTCTCATGGACTTTTGTGCCTGGGCTGGCTTTGAACCACGATCCTCAGCTTTCAGCCTCCTGAGTAGCTAGGATTACAGGTGTGTATATTTTAAAGCACTATTCTATTCTTATGTTCTTCTGTCTTTGAAGGGTAAAGAAATTGCATTTCCCATCAGTCAACTAAGCTGCAAGATATACATACCAGATTAATAATTAATAATGTGAATTTAAAACAATGGTAAAAACTAAAATAGTTAACACCAGCAGGTGAATAGAAAGGGATGAGACTCAGTTAAACCCATTAATATTAATGATATTAATCATTAGCATTACACATTAATATTAATTATATTAATAATCAATGTTGATTAGTGATATTAATTAATATTATCCTCATCTAAAAATGTAATGGGAAGTATTATGTAATGGTACATGGTAACCTAAGTAGAATAACTTATGGACCAAAAATTCCCATTCTTCTACAGAATTATGGTGGGGGAATCTCATAATTCTGAAGAACAAAAACAAGAAAAGACAGAGAACAGTGACTTGTAAACTTAGGATAGGATTCTGGGAAGCTCTCAAATGTACTAATCAAAAGTAAGCTTGCAGGTAGGATGATCAACTGGGAACCTTTTGAAATGGAAGGTTTAGGAGTGCTAAGGAACATGGTCAGTGTAGACCATTCACCTCAAACTGACTCATCCTTGTCAACTAAATTATATTGCTTCTAGAAATTTATCTTAGAAATCAAAGAAACACACATGAGTTCACATAACATATAAACATAGTGCAATATTTTAAGGTTATTAAAAGAATGAACTGATATTCAATGTCATGAAAACATACTATATATGATAGTATATACTTTTTCTTTCTTTTTTTAATTGTGAAAATACTGTATAGAGGGGTTACAATTACATGGGCAAGATAATGAGTACATTTCATATCAAGCATTGTAGCCTCCTCCTTTGTTTCCCCTTCCCATCCTTTACCATCCTCCCCTTGCCCCCTCAATCCTCCCTGCCCCCTCCCCTGCAAGAAAGTTGTAAAGTTCGTTTTCGACATAACGACTTGTACATCTCATTGTTGCAATGGGTTCACCTGTATCCCTATTTAAACGATTTGTTTTTCCCCTTCCCCTCCACAAATTATACTGACATCAAATACAGTGAAAGCAGGGGTTTAGTATATACTGTTTTATATGCAGCAATATATGGGTGAGATTGGGAACGTTGGGGGAGAATGATAGCAGGGTGGCATTGATCAAGATGCACTGTACTTACAAATGATTTGTTGAGTTGAAACCCATTTGTACAACTACTTAAAGATAACACATTTTAGAAAAGGAGAACAAAATATCAGCTTCCCAAACCTTTCTATACTATCAATTTTCTTTCCTTTCCTTTTGTCTTTCCATTCCTGGATGAAAGAGCGATGAAAACGAATTCTCAAGAGGTTAACTGAAGTCATTGCTTGATGTTGGGACATTGGGCATGATCAACATTTCTCCTCAGCACACTTTTGGTATATTTATAGCTACAAAAAATTCTTTCATCATAAGTAATAGTACTTTCTCTGAGGGAACTCATACACTTTAGCGTATGCAGCATAGCTTGGTGGTGGCTATTCCAGTGGATAATTTATGCATATACATTTGTTTATAGCTCTACATGTATGCTCGTGGGTGTTTGTGTGTGTGTTTGTGTGTGTGTGTGTGTGTGTGTGTGTGTGTGTGTGTGTGTAACTGCAGGTGAATTTTTAATGTTACTACAGCCCAGTTTCATCCACAAAGAGACAGAGAATCAGAAGGACTAACAGCATCCTGATGTTCTTTTTATACATTCTGTGCCAGTTCCTCAAAATATGGACAGGACCCTGTCATATTTTCCAGACTTGTCACAATGAAGAACATGCGTGTAAATAGGCAAGTGGGAATATAGGTGTAGTTCACACATGTCCACACCATCAGAGGAACCAAGGCAAGCAAACATCTGTCCAGATGTGAATGCTCAGCAAGCAGCAACCGCAGATGTAAACACCTCTCAGAAGCAAATGTTCTCACGCTCCCTGCCCTGCAACTTCTTGGTGATTTTCCAACACAGTTAGGAAATACCTCCAAATCTCACAAGAAAAATGTGCGACCTCATTTTCTTTTACGACGTGCTAAAGAGAAGTACAAATAGATGAAAACGACAGCGAGGGAGACCACAATGACACACTGTGTGAGCTTTTAACAACCAGCTGTAGCCAGGATGTCTTGGGTCCTGTTCTCTGTTCTTTGGCTCATCGTTCAAACTCAAGGTAAGAATGAGTATGCTGGAATTTTATATAAAAGTCAAATTATGTGATGAATGTACCCCTAGGAGATGAGAAAAGCTTTGTAATCCAAAGGATCACTATTATTGGATTTTTCTTTCCTAATATATAATATATATTCTATATAATATTTACATGTTCATTTGAGGGAAGGCATCAAAATCACTATGTAAAACATATATGTTAAAGTTTGTCATAATTTTTTTCAAATTAAATGCATTTTACTAAGTAAAAAATTCATCATTTTCCAAAACAGAACAAGTAAAAGTATATGAGTGGTCTATTTATGTTTTCATTGATAAATAATTTTTAACTAATGTATTTAGGATTGTAAGCTATGTTGTAATAAAGCTACATTTTAAGATTATTTCCTGAGGAGGATTCATTAGTGGAATGGCAAGGTCAAAAAGTCTAGGCCTGGAAAAAATTAACTCTTTTCCTCCTTAGGGTTGATAATTGACAGTTGAATGATTTGGCACCTGCTGTATGCACCCTTGTTATCCTATGAAGAAATTGCACCCATTGAGGCCATCATGGGTTACTTTGCTCATGATCACATGGCTGTCATGTTAAAAGTCAAATGCTGGGAATCTCCACATTTCTGTATATAAATACATTTCTAGGAAAACTTATACTGAAACAGGTTTTTAAAAAACATAGATAGCTAAGGGCCTACCTTATGCCTATCACAAAATTATCACTTGGTTAAGGATACAGTGCAAACATTGCACTAACAGGACTATCAGGGTAGGTCTTACCCTCATATTCAACCACTAATGTACCAAAGAAATAACTTAGATAACTTTTAAGCCAATAATGATAGTATATATACATACAGCTTAGTGAGTGCTTTCATAGCCATTTACTCAATTCTTAGGAACTCTGCTCATTGTTAAGATTTTGTGTTTTACACAATAATTTAGTGAAAAGTCTCTGAACTTCTATCTCTCATTCAACAATCTTAATAGCTTACTCCATGACACAGCTAGACCACTCCTGGGTGTATAACTGCAGTGTGTAAATCATCATACAACAGAGATAATGGTGCACACATATTTATAGCAGCACTATTCACAAGAACCAAGCTGTGGAATCAGGCTAGAGGTCCAACCACGATGATTGGATAAAGAAAATGTGGTCTCTAAATACATATGTATTCCATTATAAAGACAGGCACTCTATTGCTGAGCTACACCTCTGGGACTTTCTATGCTGGTTATTTTCACATAGGGTTTTGATTTTTGTCTGAGTCTGTACTTGGACAGCAGTCCTCCTATTTTCCATTTCCCATGACAGCTCAGATGTCAGATGAACACCATCATACTCAGCTTCTTCCACTGAAATGAAGACTTAGAATGTTTTCTTTTGCCAGTGCTGGCCGAAAACTTTGATCCTACAGATTTCAGCTTTCTGAGTACCTAAGAATATAGACATGAAACTTATGCCCAGCTTGATAAAAGAAAATGTATTAAGCAGTTTTAGGCTTTGTGCTTTATTGTATAATATTTTTCTCAGGAAAGCATTATTCAGAATTCTAGGAGTTGACTTAGGAGATAATTCTTTCCTTATTCTTTTCCCTCAGTCTCTCAAAGTGTACAATTCACTTGTTGGTCCTTAATTGCTCCGATTGTCTTAACAGAAAACTCTCTGTGTACAGATTCTGTGTGTGTGTGTGTGTGTGAAAACATGAATGTTCATGAATAAGACTGACCTTAATTGAATAATCAGAAAGAACAAAAAAGATGTGGTGCTATTTTCCTAGGAGAGTGATGAATAGTTTTTATGGTGTTCTTCAATCTCCGTCTCACACAGCAAATCACACGAAGGCAAACAGCTTTCTCAAGGGCCATTTAGCAAAGGTATCAGACCACATCCTTTAGCTCCAAGATCAGTTCTTTTCTTACTAACTAAAAACAACAGGAGCTAATGATGTAATTTCAAGTCCAACAAGAAAGATCTCTTGTCTATAATCAATTGTCCTCCTTGCTCTCTGTGGCCTAAAAAAATATTCCAAGAGAGGTCAGTAAAAATTTATTTCTGGTGACATCTGCAGTCTGCAGGGAAAATGTCAATGAAGTAAAGAATCACCATTTATTGTCACATGAGGAGTAAAATTACTACTTGTAGCATTCCCCTTTGACTCCCCAAGTATGTATTATATGGAAATTATATATAAAATTATTAGAAAATTTTGACTTGTGGAGTGGGTATTCACATCTGCACCACAGTGGGAAAATTGTGTAGAAGGCATTGAGAGGGTAAGAAATCATAATTGGAAAGAACATTCTAGAGGGAGAAGGAAATGCATTATTCCAGGCAGAACTTTATTCTCAGACAGGCAGTTTCTCCAACTTGTGGTCCAGGTTTACATTCATAGAGACCATCTCAAGAACTGTTTTGTGACCCTATGTCATTCTAGAATGGAGTTGAGAGAGAAAAATATAAACCCTTGTAATCAAAGCTAAAATGAAAGACTCACCTTGCTTTTAATGCTTTCTCTCTGTGTCCTTTTAATAAAACAACCAGCCCAACCACTCTTTTATGTGCATATTCTCTCTCCTTTTCTAGCCAAAACTGTAAAGCAAGGCCCTGAACTCAAGCTCCAGGAGATAGTGCACCCTAGAAAATTACCCTTTGCCTATCAAAGCGAGATTGAGAAGGAAAAGAATGATGAAGAGGTAGGTAACTCAAGAGATCGTGGTTCATTTTACAATCATCTGAAGACAGATGAGAATACTTCTCACTAATAGAAGAGATCTCACAGTCACCATCAAAGAGAAATCTATACAGATAGCTCCTCTTTTTCCAGAACAAAGCATATGATTTGCTTACACAGTTAATAGAAGGAGCTGTCTTGCTTGAGGAGAAAGGAGAGAACAGACTAGACATTGTTTCAAACGTGTATGTGGGATTGGATGGAATTCCAGTACAAACAACTATGTCTAGAAGGCATTAGTTTGAGAGCTGCTCCCTCCCTGCTCTGCAAACTCTTATGGCCTCCTCTCCTCACTCCATTCTCCTGCCACCACCCCATCCACACATAGAAACGCACCTCTACATGGCTACAAACACTTCCCCCATTTGGTAATTTTTACTCTTACTTAATTCTTTGCAAATCTTTATTGGCTTTCTTCAGTGTATTTCAGTTCAGTTTGATAAAAAAAAAATCCATCCCTTGTGATTATCTTGCTGGAGATGCATTGTGGTCCACAGGACATTATATTGCACGCCAGAGCCAGCCATAAGACCCTACCATATCAATGGCATTTTTAGGAAGTTTATCTCAGTGTATAAGCTATGCTTCCTCTTAAAGGCAGGAGAGCACTGATTTCAGCCTGTATGCATTTATAATGATTATCCTAATATATGCCCCATGGACCACTATGGTTGCTTTTAATAGGCCTAGACATATAAACTGTATGACATAATTACATCATTAAATACTTTCAGGGAAGATGTGCGCCTCATGTTCAGTATCAAATTACCTTAAGTGGAGAAAAAATTATCCTTCACCTTCAAAACCCCAAGTAAGTTCTGTTTCCTGAAACTCTAATCATTTTGATTGCTAATTGAGAAATGGGGAAGTATTCTTGGAGCTCTAATCAGTGTGACTGGAATAGAAGACGTGAAGCGTGTGGGGCTTTAAGAAATGTATGCTCCTGTCAACAGCAGGAGGTCTGTCTTTCAAGGTCAGTGTATTCCTGGGGAATTATATGTCCGAAGGGTACTTTCCTGGAGAGAAACTCTGGAAAATAGGACTACACAAACTTCTTCCAAGACAAAATGGCTCTTTATGCAGGCTTACAAGCCAACAGTAGTTGACCAAGACTTCCTGAGCCTGTGCCCTTAGTCCAAACCAACCTCAAGAGAGCCAATTTGAAGGAAAAAACAATCTGCAATTGAGAAGCAGTTGAGATTTCTACCCTCATATTTCACCCACAGAGCTCGTTCTTTGGTTTGCTTCAGCAACAGAGTTCCAATGTTGGAAAAGGAACAATGGCCCAAAGGTCAACTCTTCCTCATTATAGACATTTAGTGCTGAAGAGTGTATCATGGAAGTCAGCCTTTGCTTCTATCCTGAGTATCCTATGAGTTCTCATTCTCTACAGGTTCCGCCTGGGGTCAGACGGCGCTGAAACAAAGCACTCATCAGGAGCAGAGAACGTTACCAGGAACCCTCAGAACAGGGTAAGGTCTGAAGGCTTCCTGGGACTTACCCTAGCATCTGCCACTTATTAAAAATGCATAGCTCCAGAGACACTGATTAAAAAAAAATAATCAAATAACTTGAAAGCCAGGTGCTCATCCATAGCCAGTTAGACAAATAGAGAAAAATCGTAGCTTTGAAAAGGTGGGGGGCTGGGAAGGTGGCTCAGTGGTAGAGCGCTTGCCTTGCATGCTTGAGGCCCTGGGTTCGATTCCTCAGCACCACATAAGCAAAAAGAAAAAAGACAGAAGTGGCGCTATGGCTCAAGTGGTAAAGCGCTAGCCTTGAGCTGAAGAACTGAAGGACAGTGCCCAGGCCCAGAGTTCAGGCCCCACGACTGGACCCCCCCCCCAAAAAAAAAGAAAAGGTAGGAATAACATGAAACTTCTGTCACCTGTTTAGAAGCACATGGAGTCCACTTGTCTCTAGACTATTTTATATTCAGGTTAGGAATTTGTCCCCTAATATGCCTGTATGGAAATAACCCAACAAAACACTTTGTTCCCTTAATATACATTAAGTAAAAGCAAAGACTTGCTGTTCCCTATAAATACTTGAAACTTGCTGTTACTACTGTTTCCTGAAAATATTTGCATTTATCCTGATGTTTGCAACACAGTATAATTAATGTTTATATCTAGACCAGTCACAATTCTACACCCTCCAGTTCTAGAGCCTAGCCTCCAGATGTAAAGAATCATGACACACAAAAAAAATCAGAGATCAGGCAAAAGGTCTCCTCTCTGGAACTGTATACCTACTTGTCTCCATAAACAAAAACCACATAAAACTTCCACCACCTCTGCCTGGCTGCTTCCTTGTTGTATCAAAACTCTCATTTCACGGATTTCCGGATGTTTGGTAACATTTGTCCTCGGAGAAGAGTATCTGATAACTTCATTAGTGATTCCTTTTTTGTTGTTATTGTTACCATTGCTGAGATATGACGGTTTGAACTCAGGGTTCTCTAACACCTGAGCTTTTCTCCCAGTCCTCCTGCTTCAGTTCCAATGGTCGATGGTATATTGATGCAATACCTTGCCCACCTCTTCAATGAGAAAGTTTCTTGTAAAGAACACACACCACACACACACTCTCTCTCACACACACACATACAGATACAGACACACACACACACACACACAGCAAGTCTGTTACCTTTGAACCAGAGGTGATTTATGGTAAGTTTATCTAGATCTCTCCACATACGTGGCCCCTTGCTAATACAGACCAGTAACCATGCATTATCTTAGTTGTAGACAAATATTCCCAGTTTTCAAATCTGGTAGAAAAGGATCCACTAACAGACGGATTAAAATGGTGACTTCAGCCAGTCAATCTGAAGGACTCAGGATGGTCCCACCCTCAGAACCTGCAGGTGGTACTGAAACCCCCAGTGATTGGCTACTTCTCATTCACCATGAGATACAGCACCAGCCTGGACTTTATCTCACTGCTCATTAGTATGAGAGAAATGACTGAGACACCAGATAGGGAGTTCAGAGTCACCTGTGGAGTGGTTCAGAAGGCCCCCAAAGACCTCAAAGGGTTTTCTTTTTGGAAAAAGAGTAAGGGCCCCAGTCATGAGTTGAGCTTTCTTTCCCCTGTACTAAAGATGGTAGCTTTCTCCACATGATGCCTGTTGTTAATGTACGTTTACGTGTAAGTATAATAGTGGAAGCTAGACGCGTTCTGTGCACACGTGTATGATTCTGAGGTGATTTTCGGTTTTCTACTCCAGAGGCACTGTCACTATGAAGGTCACATCCTAAATGAACAGAACTCTGCGGCCAGCATCAGTACCGGCGATGGGCTGAGGTGAGAAAACTGTCCAAAATAGTGAGTATCAGGAAACATTTTGCTACACAGAACTGAGTCCTTCTGGACCTTATCTGGTCTTGCTATTTTGGTATTTTCCCTCACGGATTACTTAATCAACGTGCTCCAAGTGGGAGAAGTAGAGAGCATCACCCTTACGATCGTGGCATAAGTGGCGTCATCAGCTATTACACACATTAGTCCAGCTTTCTGAGTATCTGGGTTCATTGCCAAGTCTCTCTATGTCATTCTTAGAAACAGTTGCTTGATATTGTCTTGCAGATAATACCCTGTGAGTTTCCTAGCTGCTATTAAGTTGTTGGGTGGTTATTGTCGTTTGTGATCCTGGGACTTGAACTCAGGGCCTAAGCTCTGTCCCTAAGCTTTTTTGATCAAGACTAGTGCTTTGACATGAGCCACAGCTCCACTTATGACTTTTTTGGTGGCTAATTGGAGGCAAGAGTCTCACAGACTCTCCTGCCTGTGCTGGTGTTGAACATCTCAGATCTCAGCCTCTTGAATAGCTAAGACTATAGGTATGAGCTACCAATGTCTGGCTCCAGCTTAATTTTTTAAGTGTACGTGTATATGTGTTTATACAAACAAGCCTTCCCAACTAAGAAAATCTCAGAGCCTGAAAAAGCACACATGAGAATATAATACTACCTACTACAAAGTTTACCTCTGAATGAGCACTGCTAATAACTTCTTATTGTGTCTTTAATGATACATACCAACAAGTATATCTTTCAGGATTAAAATAAGAAATATAGCTCATGCTTGCTGTCCCAACATGATCTATCCTTAGCATGGCACATTAAAATTTCTGCATATCATAAAATAGATACCGTTTCTAGAAGCTTCTCTGTTGTTATATCACAGAGCTCTTTCAGCTCCTATGAGACCCCATTTGTGACTCTGGATTCCCTACAAACACATTCTTCTCTTTTGTATGGTTCTTGTACGTAAACATTCTATCACTCCCTTCCTAGAATCTTCCAAGATATATTCAATTACATCAATAAATAAGCTGTGACAATATTTCCTGGGCTCATCAGATACTTCCCAAATTCTTTGGGGCTGTGTCATTTGAGGAGTTTCTCAGGATTCTCTGCGTATATCACATGGCCTGTTTTCATTATTGTCAAATACTGATTTGCGACCCCAGTGAACATGTGCCTGCCGAAGGATCTGAGAATGAGCGTTATGTGTGGCACGGGTGAGGAGGGAGAGATTTTTTTCCCTCCATTCTCAACAGGAAACATGAGTGCATGCCAAGGAATGCTGAAATCCATATCTGTCTCTTGCAGAGGAGACTTTACCTTCCATGATCAAAAGCTCGTGATAAGGCCTCTGGGAAGTACAGACCAGGGAGAACATGCTGTCTTTGCTTACAACCAGGAGGAGCTGGACACCGTGAATGTTAATCCTACCGGTGGTGTGAATGGTATGGGCAGGAAACAAAGGCATATTCGACCTTCCAGGTCGCTGAGAGTCTTAAAGGTAGGTTCTGGTTTTCTGCACCCTGATTGGTCTCAGCAGTAACACACAATGCAGTAGTAGGTTCAGCCAAGCCTGTCATGGGTGTTCTGAGTCTTCAGGGGGTGGTGTGTTGTTTGGTTGTTTTTTTTTCTTTTGGAAAAAAAATATATCCTTTGGTAAGGTTTTGAATCATGTAGGATGAAAGATAGTGATTAACAATGTGTTTTGTAATTATCTGAAAGCAAGAAGAGTTTCTTCAGACGCAGAAATACGTTAATCTCTTCTTGGTGCTGGATAATGCCTTTGTGAGTATGAAATGTGTTTGTTTTTTGGACAGTTTCCTCAATGTTTGAGCTTACTTATCAGGCTAAAATCAGCAGCAAAGCTTGTGATTAACAAGATTTAACCCACCTGATTATCTTGGATGCTGAACCTGCCCGTCCACCACAGTTTTCACTCCTACTCATGTACTATCCAACTGTCATCAAACTTTTGATGTTGGTAATATACTTAACACTGTATCTAGGCCATTAGCCACAAAATTAAAAATGAAGCAGTCAGGTGCTAGTGGCTCATGCTTGTAATCCTAGTTACTCAGGAAACTGAGATCTGAAGATCAAGATTCAAAGTCAAGCCAAGGAAGGGAAGTCTGAGAGTCTTATCTCTAATGGAGCATCCAGAATCCTGAAGTAAAGCTGTGGCTCAAGTGAAAATGCACCAGCCTGGGGCAGGAAAAACTAAGGGATAATTCCCAGGCACTGAGTTCAAGCCCCAGCATCAGCAAAACTAGATAAATAGCTAGATGGTGACTCACACCTGTAATTCTAGATAGTCAGGAGGCTGAGATCTGAGGATTGTGGTTCAAAGTCAACCTAGACAGAAAATCCCCAGTGGTTAACTCCAGTTAACCACTCAAAAACTGTAAGTGGAGCTGTGGTTCAAAGTGGTAGAGCACTAGCCCTGAGCAAAAGAGCTTAGGGACAGTGCCCCGGCCCTGAGTTCAAGCCCCACAACCACCAAAAAATAGATAAAATAAAGTAACAATTAATTAAAACCAGAAAGTTATTAAGATATCAAATTATTTCACATTGTTATCTAAAAAATCAACACATACAATATAAATATTACAAAAATACAAGCAAAAACTATAACTTGCAAATTATACGAAAACTGTATACCTTGCAAATTTATATGCAGAGAAAAAACACTAGCATCTATTTTTACCTAGTATATATTACTTCATTATCAAATTTGAACTTAAAACCTTCAACTTACTTGATTTACTCAACTAAAAGATAGAGAACATTGACATTTTTACAAATGCCTACTTTTTCTCTTAGGAAAAAAAAAATCTCTTGCATTTGAAATAGGATTTGGTGAAACGAGTCTTACAAAGCTTAGCTCTAGGAGTCATAGATTTTATATCTATGTAATGTATGTAATTTTTCTATGAGTGTGAAATCCCATACCCCCTTAGTTTGATTACTTTTTCATTTTGCTATTCTAATTCTACTTTCTGTCTCTTTTTTTTCAGTATAAGACGTATCACGGTAACCTGACTCTGATGAAAACGGTTCTGTTTGACGTGCTCAGCCTCCTGAATGTGGTAAGATACTTGTCACACGAGCACGCGCTTCTGCCGTGAAGCCTTAGGCATCACTGTAGTGACAGCCAGGGGCTAGCAGCGCCCCGTGCCATAGAGACAGAGTTCTGGGAGATCATAGCTACGCATCAGCATCGGGATAAGCTCATGCGTCCCGTAGCGAGGTAATTTTTTAGGAGTTCCATTTTGAAAATGGAAACTCATCACTTAAGTCTATCTTTGTATCCATGACTTGTGGTTGCACAAGTCTAAAGGACTACAAAGAATCCTGAACGTTTTCATGAAGAAAAATTCCCATCCCACAGATTTACAATACTATAGACGTTCAAGTAGCCCTGGTAGGGATGGAAATCTGGTCCGACGGTGACAAGATAAAGGTGGAACCTACCATAGGTACCACATTTAACAACTTCCTGAGATGGCACCGATCTTCCATAGGGAAAATGAGGATCCACAACCACGCTCAGCTCCTCAGGTGAGTCCTGGGGAGAGGACAGGCACACAGATGCCGAGCAGATTGCTAGACTGTCTTCTCAGGAAAGGCTTTCCTCTGCATTGGTGTTCTAGTTTACAATGTATCTGTGAAATCAACTCATCCCTAGAGTAAAATGGCCAATAAAGCAAAATAATCACTTAGATGCACAATAACCCCCTGTAGTCATTCTTGTGCTTTGGGAGGATAGACACGGGTCTGAGGCCTAGTGAACATACCAAGGGCAGGGCAGCGAGGGATATCGGTATTGTCATTAGCACAAGCTGATGGTTCTGGAGTCCAGTTGTGATGGTGTATCTGTACCTTCCGCACAGTGGGATTGGCTTCAGGCACGGGCGCGTAGGCATGGTGGCCTCCAGTTCCCTGTGTTCTCTATCTTCGGTGGCTGTTATCGAGGTTGGTACCTTTATTTTAAGGTTCCCTATGATTTGATGTCTCTAGGGTGTCCAGCAGAGCGCTTTGTGCTTAGAAATGATCATGATCATTTGCTCTGGCTGTACTTAATGGTGACAATGGGATTGTCTCATAGAAGGCTCCTTGGATCGTAAAGCATCAATCCTGCCAGAAGACATCTCATTTAAATTGGTGCCAGGAATAAGAGAAGTAATGTTGAGATAGAAAGAGGATGCCAGTGGCTTCTGTGGCCTACAAATCTCTAAGTTAGTCAGTTGACAAGAAATTAGGTGAGAAAGAAAGGGCCGCATGGGTAAGCACGACTGATGTGACAGTATCCGAGGTGACCAATTTTACAGGCCCTCAGAGTCCATATTACATAACTAAAACGTTCCGTGAGGAACGCAGTGAATCTAGCCATTGTTCACTGACAGACTTGTCATTTACGTAGTGCTAACCCGATGTCTAGGTTCTCCAACCACTTTGGATGTGCCTTCAACACGAGGTAATATAGTGACAGGGAACGGGCCTTGTGACCATTGCTGCTCTTCTCCTAAGCTGTCCTTTTCAAATCCTATATACAGGTAACAACTGGGAAACAGTGGAATGAAACTAGGTATAACCAATGCTTCTGTGATTTCCTTTCCAGGCTAAAAGGAAGAACAATGTGACGCTGGCGGCAGTGATGTCCCATGAATTAGGCCATGCCCTGGGCATGCCTGACATTCCGTACTTCACCAAGTGTCCCTCTGGCAGTTGTGCCATGAATCAGTATCTGAGGTAAGATGTTGCTGCACACAAATAATAAGCATGTGAGTGCCCAGCTCTTAAAGAATGTAAATGCACTATGCGTATGCTGGGATCTTCCTCGAGAGTTACATATCCCATCGGTCCTACCAATGTTTAAGCACCATTTTTGCCAAATATCAGGACTCATTCTTTACTATTTCCAAACACATCAAGGTCGAGTTTTATGAGTATGGCAACCACATTAAATTAAAATTATTTTGCCTTAAAGTGATACAATAGTTTCTAGACATACTAGCCTAATTCAGATGCAAACCATATATATATATATATATATATATATATATATATATATATATAACCAAAATAAGTTGACCAGCCCATTAATGTTGATCTCTTTGCAAGGACTTGATGTAGAGAAATAAGTAAACTCTACCTTGTTTTTTTTGAGGTGCTCATTGCTAAAGAATTATGACTATGGAACCTATAAGTCTGCACTGATTTCTCCCATGCTGAATCATTATTACTTCCTTCTGCTCGCCCTCATGACTGCACTATCTTATAGTGGGATCAGATGTACTGCAAAGAGTGTCATCATGTTATTTCTGAGATGTTCTGTTTACAGCTCAAAATTCCCAAAGGATTTCAGTACTTCCTGCCGGGAACATTTTCGAAGATACCTTTTATCTCACAAACCAAAGTGCCTGCTACAAGCACCTAGTCCAAAAAGTGTAATGACCCCTCCAGTGTGTGGAAACCACATTCTAGAAGTGGGAGAAGACTGTGATTGTGGCTCCCCTGAGGTATGGAACTGTCTGTCCTTTATTAGGGGGAAACTGGAGAATAATCATTTTCTTTATTTTTTAACATCCTTTTGGAAATTCTAAAGAAAAGTTGATATCAGAGTCGTTAGTAGATCTACACTTCCATTATGCTGTTGATTTTAATTATTTTTTTTCAGAAAACATTTCAAAAGCTAGGACGTGGCTTTAAGATAACATAGTTACATGATGTTGAAACTAAAGAAGAAAGCCATCAACTATAACATTTCACTTATGATCTTTCTAGATACATTATTCACAGATACCTAACCTATACATATCAGCTGATCATTTCTTAAGCAGTAACCATTTCAGATCTAGAAGTAACTTTTCTCCACAGATATTTGGCCTGTGTCCATAGTCAGTATGTAAACAAAAGATAAAAAAAGGAAAAATAAAAACCCTAAAACATATAAAAAAGTAAAAATGGAAGCAATGTTAATGCACATTGTAAAATTCCAAGGCATCTCTGTAGTGTGCAATGGTTGGTTTTGAAGAATGTGGGATTGCTTTGATTCTTGCTTAGCAATCTTCTTTTCCTTTTAAGACATACACAGCAGGCGTTGTCAATATCCTTATATCGAGAAGGAAGATTAAGGAAAGTAATCAGTTCAGAGGATATCACTAGAAATAGGTGAAGTAAAGTGGATCTCCAGATTTCTTTCTTACTTTAGATGTCTCTGACACTATAGACAAAGCATCTAAATATTCTCTGTGCTTCAGTTTGTTATGCAGAAATTTCAAACCAATTCCATTGGTAGATAAAATGCAATGACTTAAGCAATTGTGGATATTAAAAATACTCTGTCCAATACAAGGAGATATAGACTTTTATACATGATGTGACCCTATTTCTTGGGTTGAAGACAATGAGTTCATCATTGTAGTTACTTGAGCAGAACAAATGGCATATACTCAACATGTGTCAGCAAAGAGACAGGAGAAAAGAGAGGGAGAAAAAGAGGAAAGGGGAGAAAGAATTTGTCTATATAATACATAAGATACATAAGATCTAATATTCTTGAAATATATTAGGAAACATGTGAATTGTTTCCATTTTTTGTGCAATTCAATAAAACTAGGAGTTCGGGCTTATAAACAATTGGAAAAATTTAAATAATGGTAGCATATCTGAAGTTATAAGGGCAAGAAGTGTAGCTCAGTGTAAAGCACTTGTCTTCAGTGTAGGAGGTTCTGAATTCAATCCCAGTATAGAAAAGAAGAAAAGAAAGAAAGACAATGTTCCTCTCACATTACATAGGCTCTCTTATTATTCCTGTGTACATTTTTAAATCTATTTGCTCCCAAGTACAATTAGAATTCAAATGAAACTAGCTAAATTCAGATCTCACTCTAAGAACCACTGATACATTCACATATTAAATATTGTCTTAAAAGACAAACTGCCTTTAGGTTTCTTGGGAAAGTTATATATATCAAGATCTTCGTGTACTTCTGGCATAACTTGAAGGTTTATTCTGAAGTACATTCCTGTTTGTTGAAGGTATAATATTTTCCTTTTTATTTAAATACTAGTTCACTGTTTCTAATTTTGATACTATTGTACTACTAACTTCAATAGCAGTCTTAATGAGGAATCTATTATTTTAAAGAGAAGACTGTTTTATGAATAACTAGAGAATTGTATCTCATATAAACAATGAAACTATCATTTACACTTTTCCATTATTATACCTTCATACTGCTTCTATGTCTCCCAGTTTTAAATATTCCATAAAACATAGAATATAAATAACTGGTGTGTTAACTTTCATTTTATTGGATATAATTTTGCTATTTGTCATCATTATTTTATAATGATGATACATTACTCTGATCATGGTTTATATGTATGATAAATAATGCCTAAATAATTTTTATTGAATTTTTAATGAATTTTCCCATTTATCATGATATGAGCTGTTTTCTCATATCAAGTTCTTAATATGATACATATATTACTACATTATTATAGAACTATCCCCATATTTTTGTGAATAAAATTCCCACAGATTTCATTCCATTTTTATATTAATACATTCATTTTCTATTACATACATTTTTAACATTTTTATTCATCTGTGAGAATAAAGCATGTGTGTATGACCACTACCAATCTCAGATCCAAATTATGCAGGTATGGCAAACTAATTAGGGATTGGAATTTTCTGTGTTTTCACACCCTTTGACTAGTATAGAAATAGTCTTCCTTTAATTGACATGTAGTACCATCTGGATTAAATTTAGATCATTTTATTTTTGGTCTTTGTAGAGGTGGTTTTCATTGCTCATTATATCTTTTTTCCTCTATCATTAATTTTCCCTGGTCATGCCCCGTCGAATTGGTAGAGTGATTCAGGTTAAAAAGTGCAACTTTATTTCATGACCCAATTCTGTGCCCCCAATGGGAAGGAAGTGTTGATGATTCTCCCTGTCTCCTGTGCTTTGAAGGGATGCACCAATGGCTGCTGTGAGCCTCTGACCTGCAGACGAAAACCAGGACCTGGCTGTGGTCAGACACCCCCTTACCTGACTCTGTGAACACGTGAGACCCCCCTTTCTCCCTCCCCCACTTATCTGAGCACTGGAGGGGGAGGGGGATAAAACAAGGTAGAAACAGGAGACAGGAAAAGAGAAGAGACAGGGAGGAAGGAAGGTCAAACAGAAGGGAGGAGGGAGGGGGGAAGGACCATGTAATTTCTTAAGAGCTTTGACTGATAGGAGGCATATCCTTTACTGGTTAAAGGGTGCTATGATTGAAAGAAAATTAAACCTGGACATAAGATACTTAAGTGCTAGTCACAATTCTAACAAAAACTTGGGACTTTAAACTTTAGTTTTCTCATTTCGCAAATGGAGTTCATGATATGTTTTTCTTGGCACTGTTATTAGTGTTACTCAGATTCTATAGATTAACCTTTTCATTTTGACGTAGTATCTTACAATTGATAATAGCCATGGCATTTATTTTTTTCTTTTAAATAGAAAATGAATCAAAGAATCTTCTTCACTGAGAAGCTGCTTTTCCAAGACACACCAAGAGGCTGTATATTTTTACCATTGTATATAATACATGCCACCATTGTATTCTGGGTTCTGAGTTTGTGGATTCAACCATTGAACAAATGTACCTGGAAAAAAAGAATTGTGTCTGCAGTGAACTTTTATACATTTTCATGCCATTATTTCTCAAACAATTCAACTATTTACATAAGATTTACATTGTATTAGGTATTATAAACCATCCACAGAGGATTAAATACATGGGAGGCCATATGCAAACATTGTGCCATTTTACACAACAGGTATGGCCATCGGCAGATTTTGGTGTCTTCCTTGTGTCCGGTGCCCATATAAAATAGATACCAGGGGAAGATATTCTTCTTGCTGCCCTTTCCACTTTCAGGAAGTTTCTTATGTGTGTTTGGTGCAGTAGTGAAGATTGAACTCAGAATCTTACACTTTCTAGGCACAGGCTTTTCCACTTGGTTGCCTTTTTGGTTGATATGTAACATTCACAGTTTGCTAGGACACCTTTTTTACAGATAGCGATTGCTTTTCATAGGCACCACTCTGTTTCCAACCACAGGAAAACTAAAACACAGCATTCCTCTGTAGTTCACTGTCATTGTCTGTGGACACAAGAAGTATGACAGGGGATCCTGACTATGGCCTCTTCTAATCAACTACCTACATATGCAAGGCACTTGCAAACCCGTTGTCACAGTCAATTAATTTGAGAGAGGCTCAAGGGAACTAAGGAAAGCACTTAGTGATCTAAAGGATATTACTGGCTATAATATAGGTGAGCAGCTACATGGAAGAGATGCTTGGGGCAAAGTATGTGGGAAGGGATGTGGATGTTCTAGCCCTCTTCAGCCAAGCTGTTCTATAGGAAGGAACCCTTACATGGTTCAGTAATCTAGGAGCCCCACACATCCTGCCCTTATAGAGAGATGTCATTAGTAGTCACAGTTCAACTACACCATTGGCCATTCCTGATTACCTCAGTCTCCACCTTCTCTAGAGGGTGGGGCTGAAACTTTCATCTGTCCAATCACAGGACTGTTCACCCTGGCAACCAGCTGCTACCCTAAGGCTATCCGGGAGCATCCTTCAATCATTCACAGCATCAGCATACAAAATTAGTTCAAAGACTTCAAAGTTTTAAAAACTATTTTTCCCAGGAAAAGGGGAGGATACAAAGCATATTCTTTCTATTCTAAATCACAATATTATAATTCTTCTTCCTTCCTTTCTTCTTCTTCTTGTTTTGTTTTTGTTTTTTGTCCGTACTGGGGTTTGAACTCAGAGCTTTGTCCTTACCACATCTCCAGTCCATAAGATCATTTCTTAAGAACACTGCAAATAAGCTGTAAGAGATTTTGAACATTATCATGTTTTGTGGTGTTGTTGGTTGATTGGTTGGTTGATAATAGTGGTGATAGAGTTTAAACTCTGGGCCTGCAAGAGCTATTGTAAAATCATTTAGGGGATGTGCTTAGCGCCACAGTAGTGCTGATGTTTTTGTGGTGCACAGATGCATTTTGAGGTGATGAGGACCTTTCTATTTTGCACTGCCAAGGCGTAGCATGCTACTCTTTTGTTAGGCAATTGTGACACCTGCTGTCCGCCATAAAGAACTTATCCTGCTGTTCTTATGGCAAATGCAAAGACTGCTGCTTGGGGGGGGGAGAACATTTTTAGGGGGTGGTGAACAGATGAACAGTTCATTTGTCCTGCCTCTGGAAAGTCCAGTCTCAAACAAGGAAGCATTTTTGAATGGAAGCACTGCAGATAGCCCAAGGCCTGTCTAACTCACCCTCCCTGATTTTTTTCCTGCGAAGGAAGTGATAAACTATGGATTGACCACTAGATGGAGTGGTATCTGAAGCTGCCATGTATCTTGGGGCTCACACACAGCACTCTCCCCATTTCTCCCCATTTCCACCATCTGTCCCTTGAATCTCTCAGCCCAGTCAGTTTCAACCCCATCCCAGGACCCAGACGATCACTCATCTGCTTTCTATTGCTATGAATTGGGTCTATTTTTGTTTCCAGTTTCAGGCTCAGGAAATCTTAAAGTATGTCTGCTTTGTGTCCTACATATTCTAAAGCATTAGTGTCTGCATCAGTATATCATTGGAGATACTTGTTTTCAGAACTCAATGACAATATATTAGTGAGCTTTCCTTCATGTAAAGAATATCTGAGATGGATGCTGGTGGTTCATACCTCCTATCCTTGTTACTCAGGAGGCTGAGATCAAAAGATCGAGGTTCAAAGCTAGATAGGGAAGGAAAGTCCATGAGATTCTTTTTTTTTGGGGGGGGGTCTAGTCGTGGGGCCTGAACTCTGGGCCTGGGCGCTGTCCCTCAGCTCTTCAGCTCAAGGCTAGCGCTCTACCACTTGAGCCACAGTGCCACTTCTGGCTTTTTTCTTTTTGCTTATATGGTGCTGAGGAATCGAACCCAGGGCCTCATGCATGCAAGGCAAGTGCTCTACCACTGAGCCACCTTCCCACCCCTCCATGAGATTCTTATTTCCAATAAATCACCTAAAAATTAGATGTGGAGCTATGGCACAAAGTGGTAGAGCATTAGCCTGAAGCAAAAGAAATAAATAAATAAAGCTTAGGGACAGCACCTAAGTCCAAATCTCATGACCAACAAAAATAACAAAGCTGAGATTATAAATTAATAAAGAAAAACAATACACTCCTGGAATGAAGCCAGTATGATCATGGTGTGTGATCTTTTGAATGTATTGTGAATTCAGTGTTCAAGAACTGAGAATTTGAAATTTAGATTTCTTTAACTACATCTGCAGTTGTAATAAATTAACACCTGAGGCCTTGCTCGTCTCAAAGGGTATGAAATATATGCAAATTTTATTCAGAAATCCCCAAATATGCAGACATATACTTTTCCTGCATCCCACAGAAATATAATGGTAAGATCAAAATAGAACAAGAGAAGTAGGCTAAAGTCAAACAACTTTTCTAATTAATAAAGTTTCTTTTCAGGATAAAATACAGCAACCTCTAAGACTATTCATCAATGCAGTGAGGACAAATGAGAAGAGAAATCCAATTATTTGTACTCCAAAAAGATGTGACTACATTGTTTTCCACTCTTACTCCCATTTGGGAAATTAAAATAAGCTTTACAGACTTGGAGAGAAAAAATATTAGACATAAATCAGATAGAATAACTCATTAGAAGTACTTATAATGCTCTCTCAGTAATTTTACTCTTAGATAAAGTGCTTTTTTCTCAGAGCATATGGTTGAAGTCAGATTTCATTATTAGGAACAGAGCATTTTAGAGTCAGAAGAGACCTTTGATATCTGCCAATCTTAATGGATTTGAAGCTAATTTTAGAAAAAGGCATGTCTAGGATACATATTGATTCCAAGTACTGATGAGGTTTGTATTTCTCTGTAAGTTTCTATTTCTAGCACCTTTCTGTTTGCCTGTGAAATTCTTAACTGCTCAGAATCCTAAGTCTTAGCAGGCAAAAAGCACTTTAATAGAAACCTTTAATAGAGACCCTGTGGTATAATATACAACATGAGATGTGCAGGAAAAAGACTTGAGATATCTCTTGCGATCTGTATGAAATTAGAGAGTGAAATTGGCTTGTTAATTTGTGAAATCATCCCGCCTCCCCACTTCGCCTTTGTATAGAAAAGGGCAGGGTGCTCATGGAGAAAGAGTCACGGCCTATAATCTGGGAGTTTACTAGATATTTGTGATTAGCTGTGGGCACAACTATATTTTAGGGATTTCATTTGCAAAATTGTTAAATAATAACTAATGCATAGTGTTAAAGCCAAATGATCAAGAACTTGGCAGAGGGAATGTTCACAGACTCAGTCTTATTTCAGCCTTCACTGGAAGGGTTCATTCAAGCCTGAATCAAATGTCTCCGTTTTGATCTAAAGAATCTCTGAGGGCTAAACACCTCCATAAACTTTCTCTTGCATGGGGGAACAAGCTAAGCAGTGGGAAACTTCTGGCACAGATGTGAGAGCCACCATAGACCTCCGTCCTTGATCAATGGAGAGCTGCTCTGACAGGCACACAGAGATCAAGTTGTTCTAGAAGGTACCATTGTTTGCAGTCCATAAAGTTTGAATGGGAAGTCTGTAGAGATGGAGTGAAACTCATTTCTATATTGAGAAGGCCAACACAATGGGTATTTTTGTTATACACACACATACATACACACGTACCTACCCCTACATATATACATATTAGTGTGGTCTTGCTCTAAGTATTTGATGGTCCATGAAAATCTTGTTCATGGTCAGCTCTGAGATTCTGGCAGTCATGTACAGAAATCCAGAGCAATTCTTTTTTTTGCTAGAAAAGTGAATATTGAAGTGGAACTATTTTTGAGTTACAGTAAATATGCTATGATCATCTGTTTTATACACTCAGTGTAACCATAAAGTTTTGGTGAATTAATCCAACTTTCAAATGACTATTTATTGAGTCCCAACAGCCTGTAGTGTTGCTAGACCCTGACAGGGACACGTGAATGGTAGACGTAGTTTCTGTTTCTGAAGATCTTGAGCTTATTTCCAAAGATGCAAATCAAAGCCTCACTCAGGATTCCTCCATTGCAGTCATAGACAGGGTGTCTGCAAGTTCAGATTTAAGATCGTAAATATAAGATCGTAACCTCTGTGTTACAGTCTTCTGGACCAGCAAACACACTTACGAATACCTCATCTCTCACCACCACTAATCCATACCAACAAGCAAAGAGAAAAGCCAAAGTTGATGTCAGCTCATGCGCACATGAACATGCAGACTGGAGGGCAAAAGTGGGCAAAAATTTTAGCTATCAGGGAAAGGTGAAGGATGAAGATCCGGATATGAAAACATACATGGGTTTAGGAAAGACAGACTGTGGGGAGACCTTCATCCCAGCCAGTGATTTGTCATATGGTCACATTGAAGGCAAAGTGTAAAATCCAATAAGAATTAAATATTAAACCAACAAGTACCCTCTCTGTTCTACTTAGTCAACCTTGAAGGAATTATTTCACCTAAAACTGTAGGAGGATGAAAGGGGACATGGCTATGAGGAACTCACTTGAGTGTGCCAATAGAACGGACAAGGAGCGAAGCAATCAGATGTTTGAAAGTGAAGTGTCTGATGTTTTTACCTGATGATTATAAAATATTTTGCCAGCAGAAGCTGGACATGTTACCTTACATGTTGTATATTTGGCCACCCATGCTTCTAGGAAAACCTTCTCCCAATGGCAAAAAGACTCTAGAGTAACTCAGTAACTCTTGAGTGATCATCAGGTTCTTGAAAACTAAATGTACACCAAGGACAACAGTCAAAAAATTCAATGCACAAGTGTTGCTGTGGCTCAAGTGATAAAATGCTTGCCTTGAGCTGAAGAGCTCAGGGACAGCACTCAGGCCCAGAGTTCAAGCTCTACCACTGACCAAAAAAAAAAAAATTCAATGCACATTCTACAAAATTAAGAAGATTGTGGGGAGTGATGAGGGAGAACAATGAAAGGGGTGACAATGACTTTGACCCATGATCCTCAGATCTCAGCCTCCTGAGTAGCTAGGAATGGAGGTAGGTGCCACTGGTACCTGGCAACATCTTGTTTTAATACATAGGAAGACTACAGTACCCTAATATATTGTTTAAAAGTATAGGTCTTGACAGATTCAACACTTGAGCCACAACACCACTTCCAGGTTAGTCTCATGGACTTTCCTGCCTGGGTGGCTTTGAACTGCGATCCTCAGATCTCAGCCTCCTGAGTAGCTAGGATTACGGGCGTGAGCCACTGGCGCCCAGCTATATATTCTATTTATTTGTGATAACCATTCCCCACAAAGAACCTTGTACCTTTTGGTAATAATGAGTCAATTTTATGTCTCTTGTTGAATTTGTTACACACAAGTTACCGATCATGTTAATTGACAACATTGTAATTTTCTAATATTGCATTTTCTCCTGATTTTTTATTATTACATTCAACATTTCATTTCTCAGCTGAATGTTTCTCTTTGCAGTAAAGGTCTGAGGATAGGAAAAAATAATAAAAGCATGAAATCATTGGATTTTGATGTTAAGAAGATCTTAGTGATCAAACATTATAATAATTTCAATTATAAATAAGACAATAAGGCTCAGAAATAAATGGCTCTTAAAGTTAGTGAATTCATTACAGGAAAACACAAAGTTCCTGACTTGGAATGTGGTGTTCTTTTCAGTACATTACAGACAGAATTAATAGGCTCTGATTGGCTTCTGAATCTACAAAGAGAATTACAAGATGCCCTTAATGTGGGTTTGGAATAGCTTATAATGATATTTCTTTTAAAGTCAGATAGAACATTCTAATTTCAACCCCTTATTAGAAGTACAGTTTTCAAACATTTTCTTCCCTTGTGAAGGCTCTCTCTTTCCTCTGATGACTTTTTGCTTTGCTTTCAGAGCTTTCTGATTCTATGGGTTCCCATTTGCCTATTTTTGCTTTTGTTTTCTGTGCTCTTTGGGTCTTACGAAAACAATCAAACCCACTGAAGAGCATATCCCCTGTGTTTCCTTCAAAAAATTGTAATTTTGAGTCTTACATTTGAGACATTAATAGGTCTGAGTCAATTTTTGTATGTAGTGAGAGAGAAGGGTGTAGTTTCTTTCTTCTGCACATAGAAGTACCATTTACCAATGATGGACCTTCACCCAGGGTGTATGCCTGTGGAATCCTTGGAAGCTCGGTGGGAATCAAGCACAAACATGTGCATGCTCATCTCTCCTTCTAGAGTCTCTATTCCGTTCCATTGTTTTCTGTTTGTATGTCAGCATATGCTGGCATGATTCATAAAACTTTGGATCCTGTTTTAACATCATATAATATAATGTGTCCTGCTCTTTCCTTTTTTGTTCCAGATTACTTGGGCTTTACTGTTTTTATTTATTTATTTATTCATTCATTCATTCATTTATGTATGTATTTTTTTTTGGTCGGTGTGTAGTTCCATTTGCCACTGATTTTTTTTCTTCAGTACTGTGAAGAATCACTGGCATTTTGATAGGGATTACACTGAATATGCACATTGCTTTGGATACTATAGACATTTAAATAATATTGATTTAATAATACTGATCAAGAAAATAGGAAACCTTTCTAGTTCTTATTTTTCTCTTCCATTTATCTTATTAGTTTTTTTCTTATTTTTTCTTAGTTCTTTGATAAAATTTATTCTCAAAGGCTTTGGGGGATTATAAATGGAATTGTTTACTTGATTTAATTTCTATTCAAATTTTTTCTATAGGATAATCTTACCATTAGTGCTATAATTTGAATATGATTATTTTCTTCATTCCTTTCTTTTTCTTCACTAACTCAAATGGAGAGGAGCCTTTCTTCATCTTACGATGCTGCTATGAAGGGAAGCATTTTGAATATCTGGACTAAGCTTGTTTTCCATCTCCAACCCAGAGTATCTGCTCTATCATCTATCATTCCTCTGGGGTCTCTATCATCGTGAGTACATTCCTTATCTGCTTATGAAAGTCCATAGCACTGTTCCCCAAGTCTCAAGAAGTAGAAGAGAAGAGAGAGAAATAGGAGAGAGAGAGAGAGACTTAGAAAGGTAGTCCTTTTTAAGAGTTTTCAGAGAGAGTAAAGGCAAAAGAGGGCACACTCTGGACAAAGTTGCAGGCCTCCAAAAGAAACTATTTGTGGATGATTCTATAAAGACTTCAAACATAGTAGCAAGAAAGAATAAGCACACAAACCTACAACCATAAAACTCCTTATTGAAATAATGATGGAAGTTAATTGGAACACAGGGAGATGGAGCTTCACTGATCTTCAGCAGAGAAATAGTGAAGAAAACAGTCTCATGAGAGACTAGTCACTAAAATCTGCTTTGTCTCATATTTGGATTCTACAAAGGAGGAATTCTTTTCATGTGGAAATCTGCTTCAAGGTTAGTTGTTTTTTAAGAAAAGTTTTGTATGCTTTAATGAACTTTCTAAGTTAAATACAAGATGCTACTGTGACCTGAGGGAGAATAAATTATAGACAAGTTATAAAAATCTTCATTTTCCCCTATTCCTTACCAATGAGTTTAGAACTGAGGGACAAGGATTTTCAAGTTTGAAACATTGATTACAGAGCTGCCCATCAATTGTGAGGAACAGTAAACTTCTCACTCAAAAGAGAGATGCCCTCGTGTAGAATAAAATAAACACAGAAGCAGCCTGGTTCCATGATTTTTAGTTTCTCATCCCCACTACTTACAAAAGCTCTTTTTAATTTCCTTAAAGTTCTGAAGCACTAGAAATTTCACATAGATAAATTAAATATGTAACATTTCATAGAAGATACCAGACAAATAACTGGAACACTTATAATTAAAAATGACACAATATATGATTGAAATTTCATGATTGGCATTTTAAAAATTTATTTACTCTTTCTGCACAGTCTTTAGTGTAACAAAGGAGAACTTAGGTTTCTTATAACTTGAAATGTTCTTTTTGCCTGTCACTGTGAATGAAGCCGACATGTTCTATTTGGAGCATGAGTGAATATTTGTTTGGTGAATGGTCAAGGCTTATGGGCCTTAAATATTTCTTCATTGATTTGAAAAGTGTTAGAATATCTCCTGGCAGAGATTATCCATTGAGTTAAAGCGTGTGGGTGTGTGCACGTGCGTGTGCATATGCATGTGTACACCCATGCTAGGGCTGGAACTAAGAGCCTGGGCATTGTCTCTGGGCTTTTGTGTTCAAGTCTAGCGCCCCACCACTTGAGTCACAGTACTTTATGGTAGCTAATTGGAGATGAGTGTCATGGACTCTCATGCCTGGGCTGACTTTGAACTGCAATACTTAGTCCTCAGTTTCCTGAGTCATGAGGATTAAGGCGTGAGTCACCAGTACCCAGCAGATGAAGGTAGCTTGAATAATATATCCAAAATACATAAGGAAAATACATAAGCATATTATTAGATAATGTGGTAATTTATGAATTTGCTCAATAAATTCACATGAAATCCAGTCTCTTTTACAAAGTTTATATATTTTCAATATATTTGTCTTGTTTGCTTTATCAAATGGTCCTTTGTGTTTTTATTATGGTCTTCCACACAGCAAGGACTTCACTTTCTTTAGCGAAAGCATAGGCCTCCAAACATCTTCCAGTGGTTCTTTCTAGAATGTTCTTGACATTTCTCCTTTTGAAGTGTTAGTACATTTAGAAGCAAGTGTGTATCAGTTCTGAAGTGGGCATGTAGGCCAAGCCCACGTTCCCCAGCACCAGCTCAGTGGCTGTCTCTATGAGAACATGATGTCCAACCTCCAGCTTTCGCCTCAAGCACTGAACGCATTGTGTAATCGGAGCCGGGGGCACTTCCTGGTGCCGGATCAAAACTGCCCGTCTGGGTGCCACACTCTCCATCCTCACCACAGAAGAAGAGCCAGGACGGAGCGTGAGGCCCAGCTTCGCTCAGGTACCGAAGCCCCTCTTCCACCAGGCCATCCAGGATGTGTCCTCACCACGTACTGCTGATGATTTTACTCACTTCTCTGATTAAAGGTAACTTAACTTTTTATTGAGTTTTTTTTAACTATTATGTCATACGGCAATGTCTAGTCCCAACATTTAAATGATAAATGATGAAAGCATTATTGAAGATGGTAGAAGGCTTGGCCCTCCTACTGGATGATTCTGCACACCTGCATCTCACTCCTCAGGACTCAGAGTCCCAATACTAAGGAAGGAATGACATTTCTGCATACCTACCATATACGAACTAGACACCTTGCTAGCTGTTAGCCACTTAGTACTTTCTGAATGTTTACCATGTATTACCATCCTTTCTCTACTTTATAGATAAGGAAAATGAGTCATAGCTGTAGATCAGAGTGTAGATATGCTACCTACTCAGGATCATACAGTTAAAAGTGGGGTAGGGAGGTAAAGCTTTATTGAGATCAGATCCGTCCAGGCCTTCTTCCCTTCATTGCAATCTGAGTCCTGGGGTCTTCTCCCAGCTGACAACCAGGGAGACCAGGATGCAAATAGAAGACTTCATTTAGCACTGGCATGGGAGCCCCTAAACTTATCTAACAAATGGAGCCCTACAGGAGTTAAGATTTCAGATGCAGAGATTCCTTAAAGCTC